GCTTTAAAACATTCACGGTGCCAGTATACATCAAATTTTTGACCAAGAGTTGTCTCGTTCTTCAGAATTTCCTTGATTCCTCAAATCCTCAAGGGATGCAGTTGCCTGTTTCCCTTCGCACCCTTACAATTGGATTCCCTGATCTCTTTCTCTGAAAATAACAAGCGGACTAAAGATAGGGCAAAATTTGCCTCCAAAGGACGAACCGTTCTTTACGCCCAAATTATGTTCGAAGACAGGGGATGAAGGGCAGTGGAGCTAGATCTTGTGATGGAGCGAGTCGGTGATGTTGGCGGGGGATCTGTCTGTGTCAGGGATGCTGAAGGTGTTGGTAGCTGATATAAGACTGGAAAGTCAGAATGCCTGATGTATTCCTTGATCTCACATACGTCGTTCGCCATTCTGCGGAGCATCACCAGATCCCTTGTTGGTAACGTACCACCTGGTTGTGGGTGGTGATGGGGGAGCTTTTTTTTTTAGTGGAGACCAAGGATCCTGTATTGTAAACAAAAATATTGTTTGTCTTCACAATACATGTACTTTCTTCCAAATATATCCTCCTAGCAAAAAAATTGTCTTCTCAATAATTCCTTTTACAATTTTTTTTTTTTTAAATTAAAAAAAATATCATCCCTTCCCATCTCAGCATACCTGGACCAGAAAGGGTTTCAGTTTTTTTAAGGTGACTGGCTATCCAGCGTAGCACAGCCCATTCAAGTAACTCTTGACCCAGTCCATTGCATTGTTGAAGATGTGCTGTTCCTTCCTTTTGCGTTCGTCTGGGGTGAGGGCCAAGGGCGGATCCAGAACACAAGTTTTGGGGGGGCCAAAAAAAATTTGGTCCCCCAAAAAGTGGGTCTAAAAAATTACGGCGTGAGGTTCCAAAAATTTTTGGATTCTAGATGCTCTGTGGTGCGATCTGAGGCAATTTCTGACCACTTTAACCAATTTTTTGAGGAAAAGATGGTGGTGTACTCATTGCCTGCCTTTATTGCGATTTCACATTTTTGGGGGGGGCCATGGCCCCCTTTGGCCCCCCCCCCCCCCCCTGGATCCGCCCTTGGTGAGGGCCTGTCTGTTGGGTGGAAGTTCCTCAGTGAGCACTGCCGGTATCGAAGTGGAGGTTCAAGGCTGAATGGCCGGGACTTTATGAGAAGATAAGGGCGTCCAGCTTGCACTGCTTGAAGAGGTGGCCATAGTAGGTTTCATTAACTGCTTGGTTCAAGTTGAAATCCGGTCCATTGTGTTGTTGAAGATCTCCCGGTCCTTCCTTTTGCGTTCGTCTGGGATGAGGGGCTGTCTGTTGGGTGGAAGTTCCTCAGTGAGCGCTGCCGGTATCGAAGTGGAGGTCAGTGCTCGGGTGCATGGGGACCACAGCCGCTCCACGGGGTTCGAGGCTGAATGGCTGGGATGGTACAAGGTGGCAATTAAGGCATCCAGTTTGCGCTGCTTGAAGAGGTGGCCATAGTAGGTTGCATTAATCGTGTGGTTTACGGTGAAATCCGGGCCGCCATCCGCAATTAGTACAAGGTGTGACCTCTTCCGCCACCCTCCGATTGGTAATGATGTCATTCATATGAGTCGAAACGTGACACAGGTTCTGGGGACTTCTGTTTACAATAGTAGCCTTCGATCTTCTGGGGAGCCTAAAAAGAACACAGGTTTGGAAAAATTAGGAAAAAATACGACTCTGTTTTAATATCAGAATGTTTGTGGGCGGAACTTCCTGGGCAGTATTACATTTTATGCCAAACCAGGTTTTTTTTTCGATAACAAACTACCAGTGACACTGAATGAAACATTAGGAAGACAGGAAGGCAAAGTTAAGTCAAATATTGCGTAGGGACTTTCACGTGCAGTAGATAGCCGAGTCTCATGTTTAAAGTTAAAAAGTGTACACTTTTAAAGCTGGTTATAGAGCATGTTTGGGCAAGAACATATCCAATATAAATTAAACACAAGCATCATTCATTGTTCGTTGAAATTTGGTTGACCAAAAAAAACCAAGCATTTCATGTAAATTTAATTCAAGCGACAAATAAGTTGACTCACTCATACTTTTCCCGACCAAGATTTTCTTTGCTTAGCATTTATGGAGCCGGGGAACCATCTGATGAAGGTAGCCACAGGGATCAATGAAGTACCAGGGAGTGGGAAAGTCATGGTAAGGGTTTTTTTTTTTTGGATTATTTATTATCAAACCCTTGTGACCAGATGGTCGATTTGCGGTTTAAGGTACCAAAATTATTTTAAAAAGTTAAAATAACAGTTAAAATCACAGTGGTCATTACATTAAAAATATATACTACATTAATATTAGATATAAGAAATAAACCAAAATGGTACAAACCCACCCTTAATATTCAATAGCAAAGCCCTATACTCCTCATTAAAAAAAACAAGCTACCAGATTAAAAGGAAATGAGCTGAAAAAAAGGTTTGGTCAACTAAAAATTCCACATACCGGTACACAACGGGATGATTGAAAAAAACAAAAAACAGGGGCAGTCATCAGCGGTAAAGAACCGATTGATCTGGATGTGCCTGTTCACAGCTTCCACCTCGTCGCCATGAAGAATCTTATTCTTGTTGTCCACGGAGTACACCAGAGACGACTTTTGGAATTTGGAGGCTAACTCCAAGGCGTACCTCACCAGTACCTCATCTTGGGGAAATCGCACCTTGAATGCTTTTTTTCATATTGGATGCATTGTCTGTTATTAATTATTTGATATTATAATCATCAAGGACTACCTCAAACGATGAACTGAACTTGTCCCAGGAGTGGGTGCCTTGGAAACGTTTGCAGTTCATCAAAATGGAGTTTAGCTTCTGGTTTTCAGGATTTCTTTTTTAAAATAGTTTTAAATCACAACAAGATTGAAAATAAACTGTGTCTAATCTGAATTTCATTCCAACAGATTTCAACAACACCTACTGATGGGCTTTTGATGGGTTGAGTTCAATTAGAACTAATAGTTAATAGACACGTTAATAGTTAATAGTTAATAGACAGTTAATAGTTAATGGCCCGTTAATAGTTAATGTCCCAGACATAATGTAATTACAGTACCAAGTGGTGGAGTACTAGCTGGGCTGTCTGTTGAATTGATTAACACTTGCAATTCCTACAATTCAAGTTGCCAGAAGAGTCAGTATTTAGACCATGCCCTTACTGTAAAACAAAATCGATGTTTAAGCATTTCTTTACCCATTCACACATACGGAAAACCTTTAAAATTGTCTTGTCCATTCATACTGATTATTTACCAGAGGTGGCAGCAAGTCTTTTTTTGCAAGTCCAATTCAAGTCACAAGTCATTGTTTGCAAGTCCAAGTCAAGTCACAAGTCATTAGGTCCAGTCACAAGTCAAGTCACAAGTCATTTGGTCTAAAAACAAGTCAAGTCACAAGTATCTTTGTCCAAGAACACGTCAAGTTGCACATTATTTTGTCCAGCTGTAATAAGCTAAAAGAATTAACCTGGCGTGAACTTACGAGTTATTTTGAACATGCCTCCTTAATTCCCCTTTTTCAATGTGTTGCAATTACTATTCTTGTAGTTTATCACATATCTGTCGGATATTAGCCCTTTGTATACTTTAATAAATTTACTTTACATTGTAGAAATAAATGTTGAGATGACCGTGAAAAAAAGACTTCCTCACTCGATTACATGTAGTACACTAACACTTTATTGTTCAATTTTCATGTAAACTAAACGCCTACCAATGGGTTAGGCTATCCGGTATTTTACATGCAATTGACAAAGGCCTGCTTTCTTTTCATGAAAGGTTCCTTTCAAAGTTTGTTCAACCAATACATTAAGCAAGAGACAATTGGTCATTGAAAACTGTAGTTTGTTGTGACAGTCTTATTGAACACTTTTTAAACTAGTGGGAACTATTCATTTTACTGGATTCAGTCACTGAGGTCTATTTTCTGGAATGAAAAAGCTAATTAAAAGTATAATAGCTTAATTAAAGTGTATTGGGTCGCTCGAGTAGCGTCTGACTTGGGTTGGTAACAAGTCATTTTGCAATCCCAAGTCAAGTCACAAGTCATTGTTTGCAAGTCCAAGTCAAGTCACAAGTCAAAGCTGGTATTTACAAGTCAAGTCACAAGTCACAAAAATAGCGACTCGAGTCCGACTCGAGTCCAAGTCACATGACTCGAGTCAGCAACTCTGTTATTTACATGTATTATTTTACGTATTTGATATAAAGTCCAATGCAAGTTCAACTGATGAGTCATGAATTTGACGAAAGGGCAATTAGCAGCATTCAAAATGAAAATTGAACTGTCAAGAGAATGTTGTTCACTTTTATGATTAAAAAAAGCTGCATCAGCGAGAAACATCCACTGAGTATTGTTACAGTTTGAAGAAATTGAAATAACCCTCAATTTGAGAGAGGGCCTAAAGCTGCTGATTGGCCTCTTAAACAGAGCATTTCATGTACGTGATGTATGTGTGTGGACAGCATTCTCAATTGTCCCCTCATTGGTAAAGACAAAGCAACATGAAGGAGAAATGCAAGAATGCATGCCAGTAACCAGAAACTTTTAAAGACAGGTTGTACCCACAGGTTGTTCAACTGTGGGTCTCGGTGCAGAAACCAGAACTCACATGCAGTTTGTTCCACATCATCAGAAGCTATTTCATCAGATATCACGATCTATTTTCTACAGTATTTAATTTCTCAGTTCATTGCTGAGCTTTTGGGCATTGAGGTATTCAAAATGAGACGGAACTGGGCACAGGCTAAAGTGGAGAAAAACTTCTTTTTTTGTAAAACCGAGTGATGGTGATTTTTTTTCTTTCGATTTTCCGATTGATGAATTATTTGTAATCTTTGATAATTTGGAATAGTCTGCGGTGCCTGCCTGTGCTTTACGTTAGCGGTTTTTTTTGTATGCGGTGTCTGGCCGGGTAAAAACAGAATCAAGCTGTCGCGGCGTGAGTAACGAAAACACGATTTTTTTTTTTTTCAAAGTTAAAATGTTACAATCGTATGAAGTATCGCATTTCATGTTAGTATGAGCAAATTGGAAAGGAAAGAATTATTTTTGAGGAAGTGTGGACGTAATAACTACAATCGAACGTGAAAACACGTATACACCAGTCTAGACAAACTTCTCTGGCGCCCTCCAGCGAGAGTCAAGGTGCAGTCTATAATGATCGCAAAGCCGCAGAAACTTCAGTTGATCTTTGCTGCATGCAGTGAATGGAACACGTTTAGAATAAAAGTCGCTATAATCTCTGTTAGACATCATGGCGTCAGCCGATTCACAGAGAGAATTTGATTCCATCGGCTGTGCCCTGGTTCTTCTGTCCTTCACCGTCAACTTATTGTATGGATGTGTATTAAAGAGCCTCGGTGTGCTGCTACCGACACTAACGGACCAGTTTACGACGAACACATGGATCATTGGCATTGTGACATCATTGATAGCCGTTGCCTCAGATATCACAGGTGAATGTTAATTGTCAATTAAGAGTGCGTTATGGTATATGGCATGTTTCCATTTGGCACGTATTGCTCCATTATAGATTTGACATTTATTGCTCAATTATATATTTCGTCATGTGTTTTCATTTTTGTTTATAATGTATGGATGACTGGTCCTTCTGTGTAGTGTATAACAACCCAACAGGAGTTGTGAGCTGTCCCTGGTACATATAAAGAAGTACAGGGGACAAAGCAAAGCGGAATCCCAATTAGCGCAAGGTTGCATGCAAATCATAAATACAGTGGATGAAGCCCAACTAAGACTGTACGCCCAGCTCTACGCAAGACATAAAGGGAGATGTTTTCTTTCTTCATTGATAGTTTGGCCTGCAACACGACAACAGTCATTTAAATTTCTGCTTGACTGAATCAAGTTTTCACCGTTGCCGCCCCACCGTCCACTCTTAAGCAGCTTAAAAAAGTGTAGATTTAAAACAAGTAGCTAACTAGAGAGATAAAATATTAAAAAGATTAAAGTTAATTAATCGAGTTGAATTAAGTACGAGAATAAAGGAAATGATGGTTAAAGGTGAACTAAATTATGAATACAACTAAACACAATAATTACTTGAATTAAACCGTTAGTTGACAGATATACATGTGATAACCATCAATGCATGCCTGACTGAATTTTGCCACTATACTATGCTTGGAATCGGATTTCATATAACGTGCGTGTATGCAGCATTCGTAATATATCATTATACACAGACTCAAATTAAAGGAACCTTCACACATTTCTTCTGTTCTTGTAGCTTGTGCCACAGCCAAAATTGTATTGCCGGACACCGATTGTACTATCCGGTTAATCAAAGACATAATCGCAATATTAAAGCCATTTGCGTGTTAAATTTGAATAAAATCTGGAACGCTGACTTAATACAATGCTTTGCACGTTTTAACCTAGCATTCTCCCGACCAAAGAGACTGTTACTATATCACGTGATTCGGGGCAAGCCTTATGCTAGCAACCCCCAGCTCCGGCATGGTCTGGTGTCTTTGTGCCATTCTCACCCATTGTGAACGATGTATTGGTGCTACGCAAGAGCTTGCCCCGAATCATGTGATTAGCAACAGTGTCTTTGGTCTGGAGAATTCACAGTTAAAATGTGCCAAGCATTCTGAGCAAGTCATTGCACCAGACGTTTTTCAAATGTAAATACCAAAGGTTATAGGTTACACGCAAATGGCTTATTAGCGGACACGCCAGGTCCGAACAATATAATAAGATCACGCAAGACAGCAACGCATGGGCACACCGGTCTCAAACCATGGGCACTGGGCCTAAACTGTAACACATGGGCACACCATCAGGCCCGGACAAAACATATAGCAATATCTTCCCACCAATGTTGCACACTTAGTCGGGGAGTTGAACATAATGCACGCAAAAGCGTAAGATTACCTAACATTTCATTGGCTGAAGTTATTAAACCCCATTTGGGATCAAGGTGATTTTTCATTTCACAAAACATAACCCGCCCTTGAACTAATAGGACGCCATTGCGCGACGTCGCTTCAAGGAATTATACAGGCTGCGCCGTCCAGACCACTTGCCCGCCCGTGTTGAAAGACAGGTAGAATAATATTTTCAATTATTAAGACACTGCGGTAAAACTGGGACAATAATACGCGGAGTATAATATCTTTTACCCTACATGTTATTATGGTAAAAGGTGATAAGTTCACACATAGCGTGTACGGTGTACAGACCGGCGCGGGCCGTTTCACACATATTCGTTTAGTCGTTATTTCATAATTCTCAACCCAAATTGTATCAAGCAGTCTCCGTTGTAATAAGAAAACATTGTGTCACGAGATCCCCGGATTATTTAATCGTATTTTTCAACGATAGTGAAGAGAAACTTGGAAAAACAGGTGGCTGATAATTGATATGTGTAACTTGAGCCCCATGGCGTTACGTAGACTACTGTACGCGCGAGCTGAGTTGGACCATGGTTGGACCATAGATCAAGGAACAGGTCATGGCCACAATTCTCTACCTGTATAAACGGCTTTGTGTGGCGTCACGGTCCGCAGACCCGTTCACAGACTACATATTCATTGAGACTCAAAAACTTTTATTTGTCCAAGGTCTATTCACCGCACCTCTGGAAAATCTGTTTGGTAGCCGCAGGGTGGTCGTCGTAAGCACTTTGATGATGTGCCTGGGTCTACTCGTAGTTCCGTTTGCAACAAGCGTCTTGCAGCTAGCCGCTTCTTTAGTTCTACTTGTAGGTAAGGTATCAAAGTTACAACAAACATCTGACCAAGAATCAAGGGGCCAACGAGAGCCATGCTGCGAACCACCCCCCCCCCCTCCCCCCTTCTCTACCAACTCCACCTCCCCCCCCCCCCCGAAAAAAAGGTGACGATTTATTCGGTATTAGAAGCATGGCAGTAGAAATTTGTCTCGCAATAGTCAAGACCAAAATACGACGAAGGATCCCAGTATACATTCGAGTTTATCTCAGATTTTAAAAAGACATTTTTTTATAAAGGGAATATATCACCGTTTTTACGAACAGCCACACACACTATATAATTATGTTGATTTTGAAGAAAAGTGTTTTCGAGATAATCGCGAAAGAAGTTTCTCATATGTTAAAACTGCACGAAATACTTTGCAACAACTTTGTGCAGTAAAAAAAACTTCACATGATTCTATGAGAGCTGAATTTTTACAGGAACCCAGTAATTAGATATAATTCTACTGTATTAATTAATAAGTAAAGATATGTGGCTCTTCGTGAAAACGAAAATTCAAGCTTCCTACTTATTGACCTTTTCTGTTCAATAAGTTGTGTACACGTTCAAGGGGCCAACATGTATGTGGCTCTTCGTGAAAACGCAATACTCAGTTTTCGAGATATCTACCCCTTGCATCATTAATGTTATTTTTGAAATTAATGATGTGATGCTTACAGAAACATGTCAAAATGGTGAAGTACAATGTTTTAAAGCAAAATAGTGAAAAAAATCGAAATCGAAAAAAAGAGGTAATTTTTGGTATGTGTGGCTGTTCTTGAAAACGGTGATGTGTGCTTGGCCGGTTTAGGCGGTTTTAAACAATTTGTTTAAAGCCAGAGTCCACTATCCAAATACTAACTGACGTAATTATTGTTGAAAAACATACATGTACATGTACATGGTTGAAAGATGGCAAAGTGACTAAACTCCCTGTGAAATTATTCTTTCTGGCAAGCTGTCATTTTGAAGAAATCAACGAAAGAAGGCCTTTCCAACGGTGCGTCTTAAGAAGCACCGTTGGAAATTTCCGTAAGTAGTTCGTTTTTGTATTCGGTGAAGCGCACGCAAGCGTTGACACGACGCACACGCGCGTGCAGTTGCTATAATTCGTCGGATCGGTGCGCGACATCGCGTGGCTGCAATTGGCTCAGTGAGAACGTGTCTCGGACGCTGAATCCAGGCCCAATTCAAAACATGATTCAGCAACTTTTGATTTGAAATCGGGATCCTAGAATGTTGTTTTTCTCGAAATATACAGCTGAAGCTGAGCTAAAACTTCATCAGGTTAGTTGTTCAGCACCCTTCTTTAGAGTTTGATCACTTTTGTTGCTTCAAACGAACAAAATGCACAAGTTACAAATGATGGACTATACCTTTAAGAAGCACCGTTGGAAATTTCCGTTTACTTAGTAGTTCGTTTTTTATTCGGCAAAGCGCGCGCAAGCGATGACATGGCGTACACGCGCGCGCGGTTGCTATAATTCGTCGGATCAGTGCGCGACATCGCGTAGCTGCAATTTTGCACGTACCCCCCCCCCCCTCCCCCTGCAAACAGGAGGCTGGGAAGGGTCACTGATATCTAAATAAAGAATGGATAGCGGATATCCCGACCTCGTCCCCAGGGTGTCGAGCAGTACGCGCCCACCGCTACCTGCTCTCTCAGCCTAGTATTGGATCATTTGCATGTGCAAAATGTTTGAACACGTATGCAAATGAGGAATAGTCTGGTGCCTACATGTACGTCACATTAGCGTTTGTTTTTGTATGCGATGTCTGGGGTAAAAACAGAGTCAATTCGTAGTAGCGCGAGCATGGCGTGAGTTACGAAAACACGATTTTTATTCAATTAAACTGTTTCGATCTTAACGAAACAATATGCAGTATCACATTTCATATTAATATCAACAAATTGGAAAGGAAATTAATATTTTCGAAAAGGCGTGGACGAATGATCGCGAAAACACGTACTGCACGTTGTGAATAAAAACACCAAGTACACGATAAAAATCCATAACTAGCCAATTGCGGTATCGAATCAGGATACAGGAGGAAAGTTTCCTATCCAGGGTTTGCTATTGGAAACCGTGTTGGAAATAAAGTAAGCACTGGGGACGAAGTTGGGGTTGCTGCCAATCACTTGAAAATAACATATACATGTACGTTTTTAACATGATGGCGCGCGTCATGTACTGTATAAAGGACGTATGCGATATGCGATGTGGATTTAGGCACAGACCGAGCGCAACCCAGACTTGGCCAAGTCTATGTGAATATCGGACTTTGAAATAATGACTCACTGGTAGTATATTGCGCATGCATATGTGGGGAATTTGAACGTTCAACCAATGAAACGTAAAAGGCACCGGATTTCATGGGAGTCAAAATTTCATGTGACACTGGAACAGTGTTTAAGACCAGCTAGCCATGTCTTCATCATCCGTTTAATACCGGCCACGTGACGGGCTCTCGACCAATAGGAATGCGTAATCGGTCCTAGGTATTTTTGAATAAAAATTAAGTGAATCGCGATGGTACAAAAGAAATCATGGTGCCAATAAAGACGGCAACTTGTCCTTTGTAGATCACCAGCCGGTCTCACCGGTCCGAGTCGCCAATATGGCGTCAAGTTCATCCATTGTGCGGCTAGATCCGCTATCCAGTCTTAATAGAGATCAGTGGAAAGGGCTGACGAATTAATGCTCTGATTGGATAGATCTTGCGTGACCACGACCCTGCAAGGTTTGAAACGGCCGTTAAGACTGAGTCATTCATCACTCTTTTATTTCCATTCATTAATGCGGCGCCCTTTTTTTGGTTAAAAACATAATGTAGGACAATCTGTAAAAATTATCTGAATTGTAAATTTTCAACTCCCGTCAGTTGCTCAGGCTCCGTTTCGAATTCACGAAGGCTCGAAATGCATATCATTCGACGCTCAAAATGTGTCCACATGGTCCGCAATGAAAAATAAATCACATCCGGTATGGTGTGTATGCATTTCTATGGCAAACTTTTCGGATAGTATTTGCGCGCATTGGCTAACAGCAGTCTCCAGCTTAATAGATGCTTTATACATAGGCCATAATAAATTACCCAGAATACCATCCCCACTTCCTTCACCAGATTCTGTGAAGCTCCAACCTCGTCCCCAGGGTGTCGAGCTGTTCGTGCCCACCACTACCTGCTCTCTCACCCTGGTATTGGATCATTTGCATGTGCACGATTTTTGAACACGTATGCAAATGAGGAATAGTCGAGATAGTAACCCGCCGCGGCGAGATAGTAATTCGCCGCGGCTAAATAGGAACTAAATTTTTCTTAATTTCTCTTGGCCCTTCTACGCTTCCGTAGAGTGGCATGAACAAGATGAAATTTATAAAAAAAAAAAGTTTTTTTTTTTTACAGGAACGAGTATTGGAATCCTCAATGTTCTGAGTAAAGCTTTACTTGCGAAGCACTTCCGTCGACATTTAACCGTCGCCTGCGGCATGGGCAATATAGGGCAGGCGATGGCTCTTCTTGTTTTTGCCCCCATGATGCAGCTTTTCCTGGATACATACGGCTGGAGAGGGGCAACACTTTTGATGGCTGGGGTCTGCTTTCATGCCGTACCATTCGCTGTCCTCGTCAGAGATGCTGATCATAAACCAAACTATCAGCCCCTGCCAAGTCGAAATGAGCATCACGAAGCAGACTCACCTGGCAAGAACTGTCCTCTTTCTGCATTTTGTCTCCGTCTCTACAAGGCTACGAACCTCAGAATCCTCCTTGAGTTCAATTTCGTGATAATGTTTATGCTCCGATTCGCACTCAATATAACCTTCAACACGTGGATGGTCTACTTCGTCCCCCATCTTGTAGCCAAGGGGTTCTCGCCCCAAGTGGCCGCCGCGCTTTGCTCGCCGGCAGCGGTAGGGTACCTCTTCGGGACAGTCATCTGGGCTCCTTTCATCGACCGTGGTCTGGTGAAGTGTACATCAGGGATAATCGTGAGCAGCTTGGCTTTGGCCATCTCCTTTTTGGTAGATCCCTGGGTGAATAGCGTCCTTGGTATGGCGGTCATCAGCTTTTTGCTATGTCTATTCTTATCGGCGTTGTATACCCTTAATGATGTATTTACTAAGGAACTGTATGAGGCGGAACGACTCACGAGTGCGTTCGGATGGATTCGAGCTTTCGGATTTCTGCCTAGGCTAATTGCTGGATTTTTCCCTGGTAAGATACACAAGTTTGAAATAAATTTATGATCAGGAAACAAACCAAAGAGTACTAGGGCTGTAAGGATCCGTTTTATAATTTATGTGTACATTATCAAATTTAATGGAGCAAAATAATGTACAATGTAGTTACAAGTGAAGCATAGGCGTAGACCGCGGGGGGGGGGGGGGGGGGGGTTAAGGAGGGTATTTGCCACCCAATATTTTGTAAAGACTGCTCTTTTTTCAACCATTGCCCTTTTTTCTGAACAAGTGCCCTTTTTCAAAAGAAGTTGCGCCCTTTGTGCCATCTGCCGTTACGGGTGCCTTTTTTGTTTAATTGCAAGCGTGTATCGCCCTGAAAAGCACCATATATTGTCCGTTAGTGTGCATAATCGTCAGTTTTGAGCAGCGCCCCAATCGACAGATGGCACCAGCCCCCCCCCCCCCCCCCCCCCCCCTTATCCTCGCCTCGGCATGCGCAATACTACCAATAAATAAATATTCGAGTCCTAAATTCATACTACACCAGCACAGCTGCGCTCTGCGCGACGTGCTCGCCAATCTCCACATAAGGAGTTGTTTACGAGTACTCGGGAGAGGTACAAACCATTACATAGTAGTTAGAGGGGTGTTTATAAAAACATATATGTATTTCTTGGCTCGTTTTGACCCATGGACCGAAAAGGTATTTATGAATTAGACTTAATGACAAGTCGTTAGATAGTCGTATTTTGTCTGTGAACGTTACTTCAGGCCGAACTGCATCGGTGCGGCTGGCATAATACTAGTACGTAATCGGCCGGGTTGCGACATATCTAACGACTTGACGATTATGTTCTCGCACCGTTATTCATATATGCAAGCGGCGCAATACATATGCAGTGCATTTTTGCGGTGAGATCCAATCGCACACCGCTATGCAAATGAGGACTCATTCATCCCGTTACAGAGTGAGTTCTTCTCAATGCGTCGGGGACATGTTTGCAGATCGGGCGACGTTTGAGCTGCCAAATCCCTCAGCTTGATCAATTGTGTATAGAAATATAATGTATCATTGTGATATACTTGATTTATTTGAGTCGTCTATGTCCTATAATAAATTTTGTAATGTTACACAACACAAAGTACAAACCCTCGAAGTAATGAGAATGACCTTCCGTAGCGGCCTGGAATGCACGCTGGAATCTGAACCAATCAGAGTGCTCGCATATAATTCGCTAGCGATTCAAAATACTCCCATATTTTGTGTACAAAATAGAAAACGTTTTCGCCAAGTCGGTTATTGAACATCAATAGTCAGCATCATTTAGTCTGGGAACCAGGCTACGCGCATTGCAGTGATATTTTGCGTGCATGGAGCCAGTAACCGGCATTGCGTACTTTAACAATAACCGACTTGGCACCAATTCTATTTATGAATGGGAATAAATATGTGCTTGGCCGGTATTAAACAAGTCCGTTTAAGACCGGCTTGGGACACCGTGGCCTGGTTGCCAATAATTTCCTTCTTCTCCGGCTGGGGCTATTATCAGCATGCATTAACCCAGCCGGTCTTAAACGGACTTGTTTAAAACCATTTTTTCCTTATTAATAGTGTCATTTGGGAAAAGAAAATGTCCACTACACCATCAAATGCCATCGCCATCAATATAGGCCTACTTACACTTTTTTACACAACTATATGTATTTTTTTAAATAATCTTCTAAGTTTGTTCTTTCTGTAGGTTGGATTTATGAAACGAGAGGTAGCTACGACGTGGCATTCGTCGTCTTCGGCTTTTCGCCTGTTGTCTCTCCACTCCCGATGGTTTTTGGACAACTCTGGAAGAGCCATAAAGAGAGGATTTAGGGTGTTAATTGGTGTGGCAATAACCACCATCTTAACCACAGATTCCGATTCATGATATACACCTTCATACGGAACTGCAATTCTCAGTTCATTGCTGAGCTATTGGGCATTGAGGTGTTTAAAACAAAACGGAATTGGGTACAGGTCGTAGTGGAGGAGAACAAACACGAATGGGGGTGTGTTTTTTTTGTGTTTTTTTTTCGATTTTCAGATTTGTTAATATTTATCTTTGAAATGTTTACTACACATTATTTAAAAGAAATAGTATTCGTTGATTCAAAGTGTCTTATGGGAGAAAATAGATGGAATATTTCATTTTCACGAATACATGTGTACATAACTCGAAACTTTAAAGACCTTTTTCTCAGTAGTTTGCTCTTGACATGTTGATACATTGTAAATAAGAACTCTAAACAGCCATTAATTGTCAACGGAATGTCCGATTGAAGTGCAACAAAGTAACTTGTGGGGAAAAACTGGGGGGAAAAATAGCATTAGTCTTAATGTTATTTTCTGTTGTAGCCTTGGGACATCTGAAAGTGGTGCTCTTTTATTATTTGTGGAGCTTATTTAACCCCATGCGTACGGGAAGCGGTCATGGCAGCGGCCGCTAATCCTCATTGGAATGCAGTTGCCAGCTGTGGTATGCCGTGGCACACGGCTAGTGGGTAGTTCCACAGCTGCTGCTTTTGTGCAGTCCCGCTACTACACAAAGGATGTGCAGTCATGCGGGCCACTTGCTCTATGTGTGGAGGAATGTCCCCATTACACCCCGTCCTTAAGGGGTTAAGAAACAAAAACAAGATAAAATAATATTTTCAGCACTTTGTTAAACGATGGCTCCCACGGCTATCAAGGGGCCATGGTCTGCAATGATCCACTTTCCACATTAATTTTGTTTATTTGATATTGGTCTATCTCTGTGTCAAATGTGGCACCTCTAACACTAAATGCACCATAGGTTAATTTGCTGTTCCACCCACTATACAGCCGATTTGAGTGATTTAGGGGCACGGTAAGCAAAAATGGATATAATGAGCCCAAGTTTCAAGACAGACCAAATAGGGTAGGGGCACAGTATTTGAGGGTGTCCTCGAAGCAATATACACCTCGATAACACGAATGTGGATCAACTTGGGACCAACCACATTTTTCTTGGTTACCCACCATCCTATGCAGATGGTAAAAAGTGACACTCGGTCACGGTGGGACCGTTATTGTGAGACAGCAGTGGCCCAAAATATAGTTTCATGTTTAAAAAAAAACTCCAAAAATTCAGTGGTTTTTTTTGCTAGAAGGCAAAAATACCGGCTGTTTAACTTAAGAGCACTATTTTCGGATGTCCCAAGGTATACTACAACAGAAAAAAACAGGTTCGTATGGGTGTAACAGTGCAATAAAATTCTCATAGACACTAGTGCTAAATGCCCATAATTCAGAATTCTTTTAAAAATACTCGGAACTCTCACAGGCATTTAACCTGCACAGTAAAATGATGATCAACATGTCATCTTTCATTTTTTTTTTCATTTTGTGGTGGGTTGACCGTTGACTTTTCGAGGAATTCTAACTCAAAGAAGATGACCCCTCTTTTTCCCAAAGTAGAAAAGTAGTCATCATGAAAAAGGATCCCTCCACAACAAGACAAAATAGTGCCACTTTCGAGTCCAATTAATTGCATTTAAAATGCTCAGATTTGGAAGCTTCAAGTCCGGGCCAGAGGTTCATTGCAATATCTCTTCAATTCCCCAATGATATGCTCTCAGAACTCTCTAATATAGAATATTTTGAGGGTATAACTTTTATTCATGAGCTCCGTGGATGGGTTTAGGCCTATTTACAGGTGTACACCCGTATAATTAAATAGCAGCCTGAGACTCCCGGACTATATACCGGCAGTTTTAGTGACGAATGGAGCTCGAGGATAAGATGTATTGTTCTTATTGGTAGAATAAAAATGAATGAATGAATGAATGAAGTAAAGAAAGGGGTCGATTTATTTTAAAATTAAAACAATACTTAATGTTGTCCCGCTGGCTCGCCCCTAGCTTCGCATGACTGGCAAATTTGCCTCGCTGCGACAGTAAGGTTATCTACGCTTGGTGTAAGTTCTCGGGTGGTTTGGAGTAACCTCTGAAGATGAGCGGCGACTGTCAGTACTTTCCTTATAAAGCATATTTATATTTAAACTATAGGAAACTTGGGCAAAAATGGGGCTAACGCGGGAAAACAGGTAAATTAGGCACTAGACCGAAGTGATCTTAGCAGATTGTAAGACAAGTGACAGTAACGTCTTGGACGACATTCAACGGGGAGCCACTGAGCATCGGGCATTTACACCAAGTGTGACTATTGTGAAAAATGTTGCCTATTAATGACGGCTTCAAATGGTGGATCAGTGCGTCACAAGGGACAATCCACATGCCTGTGTCTATCCGGAATTTGCGTAATATAAGTGCATTTGTAAAAATATATAAGCGCCCTCTTTTACTCCGGCAATTAACTTTGAACCTGGAACACAGTCTGATGTGATAGAAACGACTGTAACATAGTCCAGTTTCCAAGTACCGATTTTAACCATGATCCTATTCGACCGTTTCTTAAAGTGGGTCATTTTTTCGGGACAAAGTTTCTTGCTCTATGGTACGCCAAAGTACACCTCCTCCCTCCCCCGCAAGCAGTCCCCATCCACGTACATGTAATCAGTTTTGTCAGTCGGCAATGTCCACTGCATGCCCACCCCATCCCATGGGCCCACCCAGTGTTCTTTCGTCAACGAATAGCGCCATCTATTGTCTGATCAGATTTTTCTTCTTTATTCTTTTTTGTCAAGAGAGGGCGGTGTACTCCCCGCGGATTTGATTAGGGGATTTCCCATGGGATTTCCCCAGAAATCTCCGCGTTGATGACGTTCCCAGAATTCAGAAAGGAGTGGTTGGTCCCCAAATTCTTCTTTCATGACCACTTCAGAGACTTCATGAAGCTCAATTGGTGAGATTTTGATGATTAGGCTAGCCTACAATCCTGGCCAAATCTCGCTGCGCTCCATCAGCTGTAGCCCCACTACTAGTGGCCACATGCACACTAGTGGGGCTCAGGAAGTGTCCCAACCATTTTGGCCGGGATTGTAGATTGAGTATTAACTCCAGCTCTAGAGCTGGAGGCACAACTACATGTACGTTAAGAACCGGGTCGTAAGAATCCCGAAATCCCGGACTGTATTTCCTCAGTGCATTACAAAAACGGTCCATTTTCCCCTATATTATAATCCCGACCCAGATTCCATAATTCGGCGATCGTGAAATGTACATGTAGGGCCCCTGTTTTGTTTTGATCAAATTGGAGTCAAAAATGTTTTTTATTGCTCAAAAATCACCTTTACAATCAAAAGCAGACTTTTCTCAATTCTATTTCTAATAACACCTGTTTTGCAATTTTGAAAAGATTCTTGGGGTAGAAATCACGATTTTCCTGCGCGGTTTGTGCCTTGCGATTCAGGGCGCTGTGCGGGCTCACGGTACATCGCGCGGTGATCGCCATCTTTATTTTCAGGTCGCGTGTTGTCGCCGTGCTGTCATCGTCATTTTACCCTCAAATTTCCCTCAAAAAATCAAAACCCTGCCCTCTATCTATGACATACCTGTTTATTGAGAATGACGCCAACTAGTTTGGTAGGCCCAATAATTTTAAAGTGGATTTTGTTCCCTTATAGGAACCGCGCCCTACACTTAACGATCGCACATAATTCATACCTCATACGATGCAGCAGACATTCATGAAACTAGTATTAGTAATAATCGACTTCAAACAGAACAACGAAGACTAAAATATGGAATTTTTCGATGATTTTGGTGGCGATTCTCCAGAAATTATGAGAAAAAATGATCGCGCGACACTATTCTGCCGACTGCTTTGACTAAAAAAAAACATTGGCCATCAAAAACATCAGATTAACCTCAAAACAGCCTCCAAATTACTAGATATGCCACCTGAGGTACAAGGAGAGATCGATGAGTAAAATCTAGGTACATGTACTAAAGTTTGCTTACGAGTTGGATGAAAAGTGAAATTTCCCGTTCAATTCCGAGAGCTCCCCTCATGATCGATCGTGAACACGTTAAATTTCCGACTCGTGTTTGAACATCGCGATGTGGACGTACGTGCCCAGCGTTCATTCAATGGTCCCAGCACGATTCCGTTACCGAGCGCGATACATCGATTATGATAATGAGTAGACTGCATATGGATCTCGCTTGTACACACGAGTGCATTTCGAACGATGATACGGAGTCGGGAACTAGGGTAGCTATCAGCAGAAACCAGTTCAAGCTAGTCTGCTTACTGCATGAGGTATGAATTATAGAATCTGGGTTGGGATTATATACGGGAAAATAAACCGGGGAAATGGACTGGGGAAATACAGTCAGGGATTTCGGGATTCTTACGACCCGGTTCTTATAACGTAGTTGTAAGAACCAGCTCTAATGCGATAAGCATATGAGCATTGTTCAGTGCGGGCCATAGACTAGGGTTAGTCCGAGTAACTAGGACTCTACGAATCGCCTTTTTTAACATTTGAACATGGTCGGGCGATAGTAGACCAATCACAGGGCACTTTGATTGCATCACCTGGATTGGTAACGTGGTTGTGCCTCCAGCTCTAATGTGATATGCATTAGAGCTGGAGACACTCAAGCTAAGTTCAAGCTTAGTCCGAAAATTTGGGACTCTCAATATGAGAGTCCCACAACTGAAGGTATTGAAAACATGCAAAACAAGAAAATAGAATGGCACACTCATTTTGAAATCACTTGACTTCCCTCTTATGTGCACAACAGTGAAGTAAAGTCTCCTGTGAAAAGACCCACGTAGACTGTACAGTGCAGGTGTGTAATATAGCATGATGCCCAAGTGTGTACAGTTGACATGTTATGACAGGAATCAGGAAACAGCTGCCAGGATTCAGAAATGTCTGTACACAGTAAGAGAATCCTGGGAATACTTGGCAACGATTGGTTTCGTAGTGTGTGTCACTTTCTGTATCATTGTGGGTTAAATAGACGTGTACATGTACATTTGTTGGCCCTACTAATTTTGTTAAAGGGTTCGTGTACTAATTTTTAATGCAATCCTTGAAAATGCACTGCTGTGTCCCATTTTACCCCACTTTCAATTTTTGTTTTGCCATTTTGAAGGGTATTTTTAGCGTCTTCCTGGAATGACATCACAGCAACAGCAACACAGTTGTCCGGAAAAGTTTGGACAATTTCAAATGTTTAAAGTGCACTTTTCAATATCGGAAACCAATTTTTGGGATGTCGATTTGTTTTCATACATTTAAGAGGAGTAGAAAGTTGCACAAAATGTGTTCTGATGAGGTTGGTGATGAGTATCACATGAGGACTATTCAAATGCTCTCATGTAAGTTTTACTTACATACATTGTTGTACACTCACCAAACTTAATGCACAATGGGTACTAGTCCGATTTGCGTAGATAGGTGTATAGTTGTTTAGTGTAGCACTTTCGTCACAGATAGCATTGCTGACAATGACACAGAGCATTAAATAAGTCCTACGTATGTTTTTCAAACACGTGTATGTCCATTTTTATTTTAAATGGGAAATACCCAGACTTGGGCTTTAAGTGCTCAAAATGATGCAAAAGAAGATCAGGCCAACTTTACTCTTTCTTTAACCGGCAAATTTCTCCAAAACTGGGCAAAAGAAAAGTTCCTCAGTATTTCACCAACCAAGTTTGAAGACTCAATTCCATTTTTAAAGGAGACTTTTCTTCAATATTCGGCAAGTGATTTCAAAATGAGGCTAAAGACTAGACTTCTACATGTCCATCCATGGTCCAACTGTTTGACAAGACTGACTTCTTCATTCATTGTCATTAGTCTGGTGCCTGACTAAGGAGAAGTGTGTAGAAATAGTGACCAGTACCCGACATCCTAGATATTTCTTGTATTGCATGTTTTCAGTACGTTGGGACTCCCATACACATATTGAGAGTCTCAAATTTTCGGACTGGGAAATACCCATCTTGGAATGTGTTTTGATGGTAATTTAGTTTTTCTCTTGCAATTCTTCTCAGGTTGCTTCAAATACATCTACTGCAATTACCATGAACATGAATCTTCTGGTGAGTTATCTAAAGAAAAGTTCAATGTAGGGCTGTCCTGCTTATAAATTGAATATTTGAATATACGATCATCAACCCAATATTTGAATATAGGCCTATCTAGCTTTTTAACTGGTTTGAATATTCGGAAGGAGCAAACTATGCACCACACGACTGTGATGTTTATTAATCGTAAAATTGCACCCCTTTGTTGTCAGATGCTGCTGTTTGTCGGTGGCGACAGCAACTTTTTTGTCGACAGCAGTTCGATTCTCATCCTTTTAGCAGGCTTAAGCCCTTGTCCATTATAAATGACTTGCTGCAAAACATTCAGTTTAGCAGCCCATAACATCGACTGCTGCATGCAAAGTTTTGAATACTCGGTCCAATGCAGTTTTGAGTACCCTAGTTCAATTGCAAGCACCCCGGCCATTTTGACAAAATACCGACTTGCAGCACCTCAAAAAAGTTTTAAGTCTTCACTGTTTTTCGACAGATTTCTTCTGACAACCTTGTCAGAGTATTGAACATATTTAATAAATAAATAATTTAATAAATTAACCCCATGCCCACGGGAAGCGGTCATGGCCGCGGCCGCTAATCCTCATTGGAATGCAGTTGCCAGCTGTGGTATGCCGTGGCACACGGCTAGTGGGTAGTTCCACAGCTGCTGCTTTTGTGCAGTCCCGCTACCACACAAAGGCTGTGCTGTCATGCAGGCCACTTGCTCTATGTGTGGAGGAATGTCCCCATTATAACCCGTCCTAGGGTTAAGCATATAACAATATTTTGAAAAGTTCCAAAGTTTTTATATTTCTAATGTATAAAATACAAAAATGTAATCTTGTGGTCTTTGCCCACAAAATGAAGTAGATTTTTTGTTTGTTTACATTTTGTAGCATGTTCTTCAACTTGGCGTCAATTTTAGCATTTTTTTTGTTGATCATGTTTGATTGCCATGATTGCAGGCAGTCCTTTCCACAGGATTTGTGGTAATCGTTTTGTCCAAGTATGCTGAAGCTGTTCTTTGGCCAACTATACATAGAGAAGGGCGGACTGGAAGTTGCAATGTTGGTACAACATGTGCAGATGGGTAAGAAATGTTATTCAGTAGTTAACTGGTGTTATGAAAAACATCAATTTAAAAAAAAAATGTATTGCACCTTAAAAAAAATGTATTGCATATTGTTTTGTATTTTATTTATTTAGGGATAGGCGTGAAAAAGGGCACTCGCCTATCTATCCTTAAAAGGTAGACAACTTTTTTTAACCCCCCCCCCCCCTAAAAAAATGGCTACACCACTGCCTTTACATGTAACTGGGTTTAAAGTGTATGATCCATACCATGCCAAACAGCACAGTATCTTACACCCCCATTTTATTTCAAACCAATGCAAAATATTTGTAACTATCATATATTTCTGTCTTCTCACTTGGGAACGCCACTTGGGTACGCCACTGGTGTATGTATGTGGAATTAACTTGAAAATAGGTCATGTTCTGGTGAACACAGGGGGAAAAATGCTTTCATATTCATTGTCCTCCATAGCTTCATCGACACCACAAAGCAGCACTCCACGTGTTAAACCATATTTTTTTCGGTTTTCAGTTTTTTACATTTTTAATTATTATTCATCAAGGTCTACCATTGCATGAAATTTCAAAGTTTCGAAGAGTTGTACTCTAATTATCCATGGCAACTTTGGAACAAAAGTGACAATTTTTGTTTTCACAAAGTAATATCAATTTCCATTTACCATTGTAATACATGGAGCGCACTGTGCTCAAATGCAATCAAAAACGTTTTCACGAAGAAGCACCCTCCTTGTTTGAGTGCGTGCGCTGACCTCCGTTTTCACAAAGTAGCACTCTCGTAGTGTTGTAAATAATGAAGCGTACTACTTCGTGACAACAGAATGTATAGTTTCGAGGGATTTTTGTTTAACGAACTAGCACTCACTTGTTTTCTCCTATTTCTTGTTGATTTAATATGCAAATGGGTCAAAAACAGCAAATTTAATAATTCAATACATCAAGTGTCCACAACGAGAAACCCAGATGAAAAAACTCTGCAGTTTTGAAGTAAAGTGTTGTGCTAGAAGGTGTTCAACTTTAAAGAGGTTGTGGAATGCTCGAAGACATTTCCGTCATTTTTCGGGTATATGTAGCCTAAGGTGTGATGAAATAAAAACGACTATTATTTCTGTCATAAAATGAGTACAAAAGGTACTTTTGAGAGCTATTTTTCAAGTCCTGTCATGCCTGTTTTGACCCGAACGTGCAATTTGTGTAAAGGTCGTCGTTGCGGGCAGCAAACAAAACACAGTAAATCGTGACGTAATAAACAGGACTCCCGATGCAGAGTAGCATAAACGAGTCCTGTTTATTACGTCACGATTTACTGTGTTTTGTTTGCTGCCCGCAACGACGACTTTTACACAAATTGCACGTTCGGGTCAAAACAGGACCTGAAAAATAGCTTTCAAAAGTACCCTTTGTACTCATTTCATGACAGAAACAATAGTCGTTTTTATTTCATCACACCTTAGGCTACATATACCCAAAAAATGACGGAAATGTTTTCGAGCATTCCACAACCTCTTTAAACACTGTTTTCTTCGATTGCTAGTTTTTACTGGTATTAAAGTACATGAGTGCTACTTCGTGGTGTCACTGACGATATTACCAAGTCAAGTTGGCAAAGGGCCAGAATAAAGTTGGTTCATAAAAGTATGTGTGTAATTGATTTCTGCTTCGTTCAATTCCTTGTAGATTCTATTGTGCTGGCGGAGAGTGCCTGAAATGCTCTCCCTGTCCAGATCTCAACACCTATCATAAAAACCAGCTAACGGTCTTTCGAGATTGTCTACGGCAGGGGCTGTGTCCTCACGTATGCAGTCAAATGTATTTACCGCTTCATCAGCAAGCCAACCAGTCGTTTTGTTTCCATCTGCGCTCATCACAAGGTACGCTATGTTGAGCTTGTGAAGCATTGGCCGTGTTCCCTGACTAATGGCACATGTGGGTGTGATGGTTTTCTGACTGGTGTCCTGTGGATAAAACGAAAAAGAAACTGCCAATATGGGCGAGCTCAGTTGGTACACGGTAGCGCCTTGCTGTAGCGTTACACGGGATTGCAGACTCAATTCCTGGCTTCAGTCAGTTTTTTTTGTTCTTATAATATGTGTAAAGGTACCATTAAAGGGAAGATACAACATTTGCAAACATCATAAAACGAATTGAAACGAATGAGCAAATTATCACGAAATATCTTACTGGATTGTTAGGGAATGACAGTCTCAAGCATCCTGTAAAGTTGTGGCTCCTGGTATGCTGGCATTTTCAAGAAAAAATGTATTTTTCAAACTCTGGTCGGCCGACCAGCGTTGGAGAAAACTGGCTTTTTTTCAAAAAGTGCTCCTAATTTTTCATATTGAGTTCGTCTGCATTTTCTTTGCAATTGATTACACACCTGTGAAGACTACAAGCCTGCTAGACTGATTCTATGATCTTACAATTCCCCAAACTCTATAAATTGCTCCGTTTCATCTTAAAAGGGGTCAGGGAACCAGACTACAAGAATATGATTGGTTTTCTTGGTTTTTCCAGCATATACGAACCCAAAACTAAAACAAGTCAGTGTAACAATATTTGCAATAACATACTAATCCTCTCCAAATCCATTTATTTCTGAAAATTGCAGCAAAAGCAAATGTTGTACATTCCCTTTAAGGAGACATGTGTTATCGTAAATTCTTCGCACGATGGGAGACATCGGTCATTAGGGAGACATTTTCATGTCTCCCTAATGTCACAGCCCCCTTTAGAGGCAAAATCTTACCGTCGCAATTAGATTATATTTGTTGCTCGTGGTCTACTTAGTAAACATACCAAAATTTATGGGAAAAGGACAAGGGAATTTTGGCTAAGGGCACATTTAAGTTTGAAACATTTTGTACACAAGTCTATGGGGATGTTTCCCAAATGTCCAATCCAGGGTTATAATTATTAATATTATTATTATTTATTTCTGGTAATGAAACCAAGGATTCCTCAAAGGCACCCTAGGCACTGTAGCTCGCAAGCCTGAAGAAACCTGTAGAGAGGAGACAGTGAGAAGAAATTACAGTTTTTCAGGTGGGAGGAAAACCCCAGAAGAATATTCTGGGAAAAACCCACGGAATCAGGTAGGGACTGAAAACCCAATCCACATATTGGCCCAGGCGGGATTCGCACCCGGGTCACAGCGGTGGAAGGCAAGGAAAGTACCACTACGCCAACCTGACTCCCTTGAATATTAAATAATTAAATCGTGTCAACAAAGTTTGTTAAAAATCAAATTAAATTTCACTGACATGTCGCCTTGGCTGAAAATTAAAAAGTGGAACATGCTTTATTTCTATAGTTTAATTTCTCAAAAATCGATTCACTCGCCATTTTCTGCTTTTAGGTTGTAACATACGATCATGTGACAACGAAGGTACGCTAGACATGCAAGCATGCCGCTGCTTATGCAGCACCAACAGGAATGGAACCGATTGCTCTGGTACGTACTGGTTCTTGACCTTTTAGGCTGTCTATTTTTGTTAAGAATCTAGTATCTGATTACTAGAAACTGCGTTTGACCAATTATATTCAAATATTCGAAACTGCAATTGCGTGCTGCGCAGGGAAAAAGCTAGACAAAAAGTGGGCCAGTTAAAAATTACCTGTAGCAGTGGATATGGGCGCTGCAGAGTTTCGCAGTTTATAAGTATTGTATAACTGTAAAAGGGCGTTAACCTGCTGAAAGGATAACGCCCTACCTAGAGCAAAAGTTTTAACTGCTAAAACCTTATCATTATCAAACCTTTTTTCAGGTTATAATACAAGTACTAAGACGTTTGACCACTAGATCAGTGTTACATTTACCTTTGCATGTATTTTCTTCAGAGTGTGGACTATCGTGTTTGAATGGAGGCACACTAGATGATTCAGATTGCCAGTGCAGATGTGATAAGGACTGGACCGGGATGAACTGCTCTGGTAAGGACTACTGGTGAATATGGGTTCCGTGCTCGAACTTTTGTGAGCCCAGTTTCATAGAGCTGCTTAAGCATAAAATTTGCTTAAGCACATACAAAAATTGCTTAGTAAAATCAGGTTTCCCGCCAAAACTCCATGCGATATTCACTGCTTGTGACTGGTATTTAGCTGTTGTTTACTTAGCATAACAATCGCATGGAGTTTTGGCCGGTAACCTGATTTTATTAAGCAAGACTTTTTTGTGCTTAAGCAAATTTTGTGCTTATAAGCAGGGCCCAATTTCATAGAGCTGCTTAAGCACAAAATTTGCTTAAGCACATACAAAAATTGCTTAGTAAAATCAGGTTTCCCGCCAAAACTCCATGCGATGTTCACTGCTTGTGACTGGTATTTAGCTGTTGTTTACTTAGCATAACAATCGCATGGAGTTTTGGCCGGTAACCTGATTTTATAAAGCAAGACTTTTTTGTGCTTAAGCAAATTTTGTGCTTATAAGCAGGGCCCAATTTCATAGAGCTGCTTAAGCACAAAATTTGCTTAAGCACGAAAAACACATTGCTTAGTAAAATCACGTAACCCACCAAAACTCCTTGCGATGTACATTGCTTGTGACTGGTATTTAGCTGTTGTTTACTTAGCATAACAATCGCATGGAGTTTTGGCCGGTAACCTGATTTTATTAAGCAAGACTTTTTTGTGCTTAAGCAAATTTTGTGCTTATAAGCAGCTCTATGAAATTGGCCCCAGATGTGTGTACTGATTCATGCGCTAAATTATGAGCTACATGTAGTTTACTTCATGTTATCTAGAGTGCTGTATTTCCTATTACTATACCTCATACATATTCATGATCGAGAGCCGAGTTATCACTGGTTCATTCACCATCGCGTGTCAGCCGCTAGTTTTGTTGTTTACCAAGGGTTCTTTACGAAGCAATCTTAGAACTAGTGCACGGGCGTAATGCGCACGCGCGAACATCACCCTTGCAGCATGCAGGAGCTACATGAAATAAGATGGGCACACGCACAACAAGACTTTACCGAGAAAACTTATGTGTAACTTCATGTAATTTTTGTGAATATGTATGAGGTATAGTAAAACAAATAAAACATGGTTTTAGAAGTTGAAACATGGTTTTAGAAGTCGGTATTAAAAGTTAAGACTAGTCGCCGAGGGACTAGTCTGTCAACTTCCAATACCTTGGGGAGCTAATATCGATTATAACACCTCACCCACAGATTCTGTATCTCGATTGGCCGAGATCGAGTCACATGGCATTCACTGTTTTTGCTATCTCACTGTGCACTGCCAAACGTACTATACCCGTAGCAACCAGAGTACTATACGCATAACCGGTATTGTGTGCAAATGCATATGGGTGTACGCATTGCACGTGTTCTAAAATGCTAGCGCAACAGAGCGAAGGGTTCAAACATTTTGTGAAGGGGTAGTTTTGGAAAAGTGCAAGTAAATTCTCAACTAATTTTGTATCAAAATAGAAATTAATCAGTTATCGCTTAAAATCAAGCAGAATCTGTGGGAGAGGTGTTATAAAACAAATATTGACTGCTTTATCTCGAAGTGTAGTAAAACTAGCCTCCCTCGGTGATCCATGGAGCATTCTATTTTCCCTCGGAATGCTTCATGGATCACCTGTAGTTTTACTACACCACTCGAAGCAGTCGGTACTTGTATATTATAACACCTCACCCACAAATTCTGTGTCTTGATTGGCCGAGAGCGAGTCACATGTTACTTTCTTAATTTTGCTATCTTTCTGTGCACGGCCGAAAGTACTATGCGCATAGCAACCAAAGTACTATACCATTAGCAACCAAAGTACTATTTCCACAGCGTGGTATTTGTGTGCAAATGCATGCTGGTGTGCGCGTTGTGCGTAGCGCGTATTATTCCAAAGAGAGCGCGCCGCAGACTTGGGTTCAAACATTTCGTGAAGGGGTAGTTTTTAAGAGAGAAATACATTTTCCACCAATTTTGTATTGAAATTGAAGTTTATTTCAGCTGTGTTCAGATTTAAAAAACTTAAAATATTAAAATCAAGCAGAATCTTTCGGTGAAGTGTTATAAAACAAATATTGAATGCTTTATCTCGTGGTGAAGTAAAACTAGCCTCCCTCGGTGATCCATGGAGCATTCTATTTTCCCTCGGCTTCGCCTCGGGAAAATAGAATGTCCATGGATCACCTCGGGAGGCTAGTTTTACTACACCACTCGAAGCATTCAATATTTGTATACTATCAACCCTCAAACCATGTTTTATTTGTATACTGTTGGGATCAGTGATTGATCGAAATCCGCATATACTTTTTTTCAGAGTGTGGACTATCGTGTTTGAATGGAGGCACATTGGATGTTCCAGATTGCCAGTGTAAATGTGATAAAGATTGGACCGGGCGGGACTGCTCCAGTGAGTACTTCATCTAAAAAAAAAATGATCAAATTTGTTTGATTAACAAGATGGAAATGCGTGCCAGGGTGATTGCTTTGACATTTTCTATTTTTAGAATCATCATTTTCAGATTGCGGGCTGAAGTTCTGTCTGAATGGTGGTACACTGAATCCTACAGCATGCCAGTGTTCGTGCAGTGAGGGTTGGTCTGGACACAACTGCTCTGGTGAGTGCAACTACATGTACATGTACAAATAGAAAATCTCAGGGATGTAGTCCACAATATATATTGACTGCTTCGAGTGATGTGGTAAACAGCTAGCCTCCCAGGGTGATCCATGGAGCTAAAGGTTCTGTGACACTGTCAAGTCCATGCATGGCGTTCATATTGCGTTGGTGAAATTCTTTAAAATGTAACAAAACACGCCAAAGACACAGGATTCATGGCGCGAGTGGCTTGCAATGCGTCTCTGTGAAGTCCACCAGAAGTCTAAGACGTCCGTGTGGCGTTCTATAGCGTCCTTGCGGCGTTCTCTATGAGTTCCATTGAAGACCAACTAGAAGTCTGTGCGGCGTCCTCTGCATCCTGGCTGCATTCTCTGCATCCTCACTGCGTCCTCATGGCGTCCGATAAGTTGTGACTTTAAAACGTATGTGGGACATCAGCTGCCAGAAGTGCGGTGTGTATAAATACTTGGCCCAAAACGGGCGATAGTCATTGAGTCTTCATGTTTGAACGGCATAGACGCAGGAGAGGTGCAGTCCTGCATGCACGCCCAGTTTGGCAGTTTGGCATTCAGCGAAGTCCTTGGAGTCCCTCTGAAGTCCTCAAGTAGTATCAATGAGTCCCCACGACGTCATCTGCGTTCTCACCGCGTTTTAGTCAATTTTCTTGGTCGCAGTATGAACTCCATACCAGAACGTGACAGTGTGACAGGCCTTTAGGAAATGGAATGCTACATGAATCACCAAGAGAGGTCATCAGCTACACCACAAGTAAAAGCAGTCAATATTTGACAGGGCTCGAAATTAGCAGGAGGAGGTGGCTAAAATGCACCCGTAAATCTCCAAAATGATCCCGTATGCTTAGTATAATTGTGGAATATCCCCTTGCGCAGCAAGGGTCTATGATATGTGAGCAGAGTCGGTGATTAGTTATGAAACTAGACTGCGTCTTGACCTCGAAATTCTGACCATTCAACGGGCACCTTCTATATTGAGTCTTCGGTAACCCGTTATCATAGACATCTAATAAAACCTAGACAGGACATATCTGTTATGCTTTTACGTTGTGAATTGTGTTAGCAAAAATAGGCTACGTCACGCAGCCTGTAACAATATGTAACGCGATGCGTGAATGCCTGTGGCTTTGAATGATCATCACATAATTATTTTAAATAACGCGGGTAATGCGAATGCCCTCTTGCACGTTCACGTCGCGCAGCATTTTACTAACGATTTTGAAAAGCCAATGTCGGGTTTTATTTATTCTCTATGCCCGTTGTTGTATTACAAACACATGGCATCCAAATCGACCAATCAACAGCTTAGTCCAGATTTCGGAATGAGTTCAGTGACGTCATGTCGACTCGGATTGGCTGGCGCGAGGGGCTGCATAAACTTGCATGCTTAGGTATATCAGACGTTGGACTGGAAATAGGGAGGGCTCCGTTGGACAACGGGTGCCGATACCCAGACTACTGTATGCTCTGATATCAAGAGCAACCACTCTAAGTGCCCATCTCCGTTTCAACATGGAGGAATTCCTGACTTATTTTATTTGCGCCACAAAGGCTATCGAAACTGGCACACAACTTTGCCTTCATTAATGTAGAAATACATTAAAGCTATAGTCCATCATTATCAGCCATCCAAAAAGTAACTGGCGTAATTATTGTTGAAAAACAAACTTGGTAAATGAAAGATAGTAAGGGAACTAAACTCCCTGTGAAATTATTCTTTCTGGGAAGCTGTCATTTTGAAGTAATCAACGAAAGAAGGCATTTCCAACGGTGATTCTTAAGAAGCACCGTAGGAAAATTTAAATTAGTTATAGTAGTTTGTTTTGTTATTCAGCGCAGCGCGTGCAAGTATTGGAACGACGCACACGCGCGCGCGGTTGTTACAATTCGTCGGATCAGTGCGCGACGTCGCGTATAGCTGCAATTCAAAACATGATTCAGTAACTTTTGATTTGAAATTGAGATCTTAGAATGCTGTTTTTCTCGGAATGTACAGCTGAAGCTTAGCTGAAACTTTATCAGGTTAGTTGCTTAGTATCCTTTATTAGATTTTGAACTCTGTTGTTGCTTCAAACGAACAAAATGCACAAATTACAAATGATGGACTATAGCTTTAATGTAGAAATACATTAAATGGTCGATGATTCTTAAGAATAATGGAGATTTTAAGTTGTGCACTCCACTATTCTCAATGTTTTAGTCATTACGGCCGCTAGCCAACACCGGCTGTATATCACTCAGTATCAGTGTGCATGACTGCACTGTGTAGCGGGCAACAGACCACACGCTGCAGCAGAAATTTCGTGGAAACAGGTAATGCTGTATCGCTTCAAGTACAAGCGGTACAACTCAAAACAAATAGATTAAAACGGAAAAATTACACACCCAGAAAAGAGAGATCTCGTTCTGGAATTAACTCGCAGAAATGTTCGTTCAATATCAATGTGTGTTTAAAGGGAAAATACAACATTTGCAAACATCAAAAAATAAAACTACCAAATCATTTTGAAATACCTTGCTGGACTGTTAGTGAATGACAGTGTAAAGCATCCTGTAAAATCATGGCACCTGGTATACTGTCATTTTCAAGAAAAGTGGTATTTTTGTATCAATTTCCAACGCTGATCGGCCGATCAGCGTTGGAAAAAACTGGCTGTTTTTCAAATACTGGCCCCAGTTGACCATCGCACTTGTTTGCAATCGATTACACACCTATGAAGGGTACAAGCCAGCTAGACTGGTTCCCTGACCTTACAATTCCCCAATATATGTAAACTAGCTGCTCTGTTTCTTCTTAAATGGAGTCAGGGAACCAGACTACAGGAAAATGATTGTTTTTCTTGGTTTTTATAGCATTTTCGAACCCAAAACCTCAAAAAAGTCAGTGTAACTATATTTGCTATATATTTCCAACCCCCCAATTCCATCCATTTCTGAAAATTACAGCAAAAGCATATGATGTATATTCACTTTAATAGGCATTGTTGCATTTTTGAAGGACAGAATAAATACATCTTATTCTCTGCCTAGAGAGCAGATATAATGAAAAACTAGAGTTTGTTCATAGAATATATAGAATAGTGTCTGGTATCTTGCCAGGTATGGATGATTTGGGGCTGTGATCTGAGTGCAAACCTAATAGTTGGGATCTTTTTTGATTATTTGCTAAAAGGGAAAAGTCAAAAAGTGTATCACCAACAATCGGAGGGACTCAATTTTTTGCTCTGCCTGTAGCATGTAAAAAATTCAACTTCTGTTTGTTTTTTTCCTGAAATACAGAACCACAGACGGAGGGAGGAAATCCTCCTACCCAAACAAATGTCGACGGTAAGTAAAAACCCAGTCACTATGAGCAGCGCAGGTGGACCCCAAAGGAATTTTATTTCAGAAGGGCACGTGTGGAGTGTCGTGGTCTCATGGTCTTTAACATAGAACTCATAGTCTGCGGATAATTCTGCAGGTTGTGGGTTTGAGTCCAGCCTGGGGTTGTGGTGCGTGTGCCCTTGGGCAAGGCGCTTTGTCACACCCCACCCAGGAGTAAATGGGTACCTATGACGGCAGAGATGGTCATTGTGATTGATTTTAGCTGCTTTGCGCTGATATGCCATCCAGCATCATGTAAGCTGTGTATACTCCTGGGATCATCTTTAAAATGTTTCGTTGGCCCGATGATTACTTGTCAAAAAAATAATTGTATGCACTTTGATCCTAGCTAAACGAAATATATAAATAAGTATCCATTATTATTTTTTAAATTATTTAAAGCTATAGTCCATCATTTGTAATTAGTGCATTTTGTTCGTTTGAAGCAACAAAAGTGTTCAAAATCTAATGAAGGATACTGAACAACTTACCTGATGAAGTTTCAGCTCAGCTTCAGCTTCATATTCCGAGAAAAACAGCATTCTGAATTGCAGCTTTACGCGATGTCGCGCACTGATAGCAACCGAATTATAGCAACCGCGCGCGCCTGTGCGTCGTTCCAATGCTTGTGCGCGCTGCGCCGAATAACAAAACGAACAACTAATTTAAATTTTCCTACGGTGCTTCTTAAGAAGCACCGTTGGAAATGCCTTCTTTCGTTGATTTCTTCAAAATGAGAGCTTGCCAGAAAGGATAATTTCACAGGGAGTTTAGTCCCCTTACTATCTTTCAACCAGTATGATTTTCAACAATAATTACGCCAGTTACTTTTTTGGATAGCTGCAAATGATGGACTATAGCTTTAACAACCAGCATGCAGCAAATGATCAAGAAAGTGGTGAAAACAGTTATCTTCATGTGGGGGAACTATACATGTACACATATGTTTGTAATTTCTTTATTTTGGAGTAGGCGGAGAGCCTTTTCCACTGTATGTCTTTGGAATCATCGGTGGAGGAATTCTAGCTGTTGTTGCTACTTGGTGTATTTCGAAGAAATTCGGATGCAGTTTCAAGTCAAGTTCCCCATCTCTTGATGTAGAAAGAGATGGCCTCATAGAATGTGAGTATTACATTGAACTATCCACGCGAATGCGATTGCAAAGCGAATTTGACGTCATGAAACATTCGCTGCGAAATTCGCCTGGGTAAAAATATGTTCAACTTTTACGAATTCGCAGCGCGAATTCTTGCCATGACGTCACAAATTCGCGTTCGCTTTCGCTTTCGCTTTTGTGCCCAGTTTGAACCGGGCTTTAAGGATGTAACTTTGCATTTCATTTTGTAAACATTTAGCAAATATTTTAAGAACCGTTTAAACATTTAAACGCTAAGCCATTTCACAAAATGAAGGCTGACACCTGCCTTTATAACTGCTGACTGGCATTATTGGCATGATAAACATAACGATTGACATAATAAATAGTGGCAGTCATTGAACAAATGAAACTTAACTATGAGCACCCCAAATGTGATCAAGTACTGCAGTTCTTCTGAGTTTTTATGAATTAATTAGATTTGAAAACATCTTTAATTATATGTGATATGTATGTTTAAGTCAAAGGAATATCGCGTGAACGTAGTCTTTTTTTATATTTCTTGTTCGATTAAACATTTGGAAAGTTAGTAAATGGATTTAGAATTTATTTTAGAATCTGAAATTGCCAGGCAAACACCCCCTTTGGAGAATTGGATGAAAACGAATTTTGGTTATTCTATAAATTTTCGGCCTACTTTTTCCTATCTCTGTTGACATATATTTGTAAATTCTGGAAGCATTCCATGGTGCCTTAGTTCTTCATACATGGCGGTGTAGAGCAACTACTAACCCAACAATAGTAAATTATATAAGACATGTGCTTGCTTTTCCTTAGAAAAGGGTCCAAAGATTACAAAGTTTTTTAAACTTGGGTCCCCAAAAAATGCAAGAAAGTAGAGGCGACTATTTCAAGGCGAGGTGTAATTAGCTGGCTTGCATTTGCAAGGTGCACGCAGATTTACCTCATTATCAGTACGTGTCACTAAAGTGTTAAAATGCAATGCACCGTATTTGTAAATTATATGCGATGCAGTGAACATGTACAGGACTGGTAAAGAAAAAGCGGCACCCAAAAATAATCATGACATGGAAGCCCATTTAATAAACTACTTTTAAGTGAGAAAATCATTTCAATTGCTCTACACGTAAAAATGTTATCACTATTTAAACGAAGTAACCCTAAAATCAGTTTCGTCCAAAAAAGCAGTGTGTGTTCTGACTGTTTGGAACAACAAAGAAAATGACACAGAATACTTGTTTCAACAACTGTAGAACACACAATATCTTTATTAACAACCCTGCTTTGGCTAACAACAGGATTTCTATAATCCACTCTTCTTTTTTTAATGGGCCTTCAAAAGGACTGTGTTGAACATTTTTAACTTTCTAAACTGAGGTTTTATCACTGGTAATTTTTTAATACAATTGTAACAACAATTCTTGAAATGGCATTTTTGGACAAAATAGATTGTAGGATCATTTCATTTAAATGGTGACATAAGTTGAACGGATTGAGCAATTGAAGCAGTTTTTTTTCAACTAAAAGTAGTTTATTAAATTGGCTTACCAGTCATAATATTTTTGGTGCTGCATATTTTTTTTAATATGAAATATATTTCTTTGGGTATGGTTTCCGCTTTTTTTTACTCACACTGTATATGAGGTAAATTAGTTGCAACGCAGTATCTGTGAGGTACTCTATATGCAGCGCAGTGTATATGAAAGAAACGGGTATTTTGATGGACTGGACACATGGCCGTTTTAGTCCGATGAAATTGCAGTATCAAATTCATGATATAACAGACATCTCTTCATAACCTTATCCTGATTTAGGTTACTTGGAAGTGTCTGGCATTACCCAGCAAAGCATCTCAGTCAAGGCCAAGAATCCAAGCCAGAAATTCAATGGCAAGAAGATGAAGTTTTCTTGTCAGAAAGCAGACAGTTCACAGGATCCTCTTCAGAAGTGGTCTAGTGCAAGGACGTGGAACATCGATGTCATCTTGCAACACACGTTTGAAGAGCTTCTCCCGGGCGTGAATTACGTCATCTCACTTCATCAACACAGACATGTGCAGCATGCGGTGAGAACGCAAGACGCCACCACATGTGAGTGAAATTGGATGTCGTCGCGTCAGTGCAACAAGGTCGTATCTCCTAAAATGGCATGAACGCAAAACGCGAGTTTTGGAATGTCAAAAGGGCGTATCTCGCTTAAGATAACCCGAATGTACACGCAAAGTCAATGGACGTCGAGATACGACCTTGTTGCACGGAGCGTATTTGCGCGAGATACGACTTTGTTGCAGAATGGAGTTACGACCTCGTTGCACTGACGCGACGATGTAGGTTAAATAATAACACAGCTGGTCCTGTGCCTAATAAGTGGTGAGCGGCATGTAGTACAGTGTGAAAGACCCGCTGAAGGTAACATTTGAAAAGGAAACATTTTTTGAAGCAGTGACACTAATAATCTATTGTTTACCTTAATTTTAAACGCTCACGGTTGAGAAAGTTTTATTCCAAACTAATACTTGGTGTAAACAAACTTGACACACTACTGTTATTGTTCTGCACTGTACTGTTTTGCACTGTTTTCCCTGACCCTCTCCAAATGTGATACGATCAAGCTAGATGAGTCGTTTTTCGACCCTGGTCAAAATTTGGTTTATTACAGATTTGAAAAGAGCACAATCTCAGCATTACTGCTGTGAAAACCGCATCCTGATACCATCTTTAGTTAAAAAATTATGGAAGTCGGAACACCAAGAGATGTGATGAAGTGATGTGATGAAGTGGCCCTACATGTATTTTGGCCTGCATCTCCAAATGAAAATTCCCGACAAACGACTCATGTAGCTTGATCGCATCACAAATGTCTCCACTTTTGAGACAAGAGTGAATGCATTTCTCATGTCTCAGCAGTTTTGTCAGTTTTTATGTAGTGTTCAAGGCCATTTTTCCATCTTTTGGTAGCTTTATTAGGCCCTTGTTGTGATAGTCACGTGTGTGAATACAAGTCTGTGTGTTCAGCATTAAAGCTTCAGAATAATAAAGCAATTGAATGTGCCAAATAGTTTCCCGTGATTCATAAAACAAATCTGTATTTAGTTTTTATTTGAATGTTTTTTTCTACCATAACAGATTATCCACTGTCAGTCGATGTGAGTGGCACATCTGCCACCATCAGTGGTCTGAATCAGCTTCACATCAATGCTGTACAAGTCTGCCCGTGCCTGATGCTGCCTAGGTGTAAGAACTGGATTAACATCTCTCCAGGACAGAATGAGTTGGTAATCTCCGACATACCTCCAGGCATTGAGTACTTTGTGAAAGCTGGAACTGTAGACAGTGAGCAGCTACCATCTCGACAGAAATTCAGATGTAAAGTAGAGGGGAAACTACATGTAGATGTACAAGGTAAGACTGCATCTCGCACAAAAAGAAACTAAGCAGTTTTTATAATCATCCTTGTTTACATATTTCTCGGTGAACAAAAAGGGGCATAACAGCCTGAAATCCCCCCAAATTTCATGTTTTAGATGTTTACTTATCCTATTTCAAAGATCTGGTTGCAAGGAAACTAACCTAATGTCTTAATTAACGTTCCCGAGAAAAGATGAAAAACCCCGGTTGTTTACATCGGACGCAGCGGACAGTTTTTGGCATAAGAACATACATGTACTTATTTCAAGCCGTCTCTATTCAATAAACTGTACACGTTGTGTGTGTGTCGCATAATACCCACAGCAGCAAAACACAAATGTTGTTTCTAACACGCCTGCGGAATGCGAACCTCTGTGTTGCTGGACCGACAACTAGCATCAACAGCTCGATTTTTCAGAGACAAAATTGTGACCCTCAAAATTCGTTATCGCATTTCATTCTTTCCATTGCATTGGAAAAGAGCTTCTTTTTATCTGGTGAGGCCAGGGTGCGTTTTGGGACAAATATTTGAATGAAACGTGATCAACGACCGACCAATCAGATAATGAGGATTTTTTCAGGTGTTGTATAACATGAAATTCGCGAGACTGCCACATATTCAACAACTGATGTGTGCCTGGATTGAAAACTAGCATCAACAGCTCGATTTTTCGGAGTCAAACATTAATTGTGACCCTCAATTTGTTCTCGCAAGAAAAACACCCAGTTTTTAAAGTAGTGTTACTGATGTGTGAACGTTTATATCCTACTTTTAAAGGCGCTTTCCAATTAATATAATTTTGTTTAAAAAGTATTTTGTAGTCCAATTGGGTGCATTCCAGGCCGGATAATATCCATCTTATAAAAAGTGGGATATAGGTTGTTTTTTTTTATTGTTTGTTTGATTACTCTTGACGAAAATGTGCAAAAAACATTACACTCTTTCAACCTCTGTTTTTCCCCAGAAATCACACAGGACCACAGGACAAGCAACTGCGTAACTTTCGAAGAAGCTCTCAAATCTGTTGATCTGAAAAAGTCCCTACAAGTCGAGTTTGATTCTACGAGAGATAATCCGCATCTGCCTGAAATGGTCGCCCAGGCATTGGGATTGGATGGAGATGATCGTAGAATCATCACAGGTGCCAGTAGTGAGCACGTTGAGAAACTCGATCAAATCCTGACCAGCAGGGACAATGACACCCAAGTTCACGACCTAATAGAGCGCCTTCTACTCATGGAGCAGAGGAGTGATACGGAGATGAGGCCAAGGAAAGAAGCAGAGGCGTTCTTAATCAAAGTGGTTGGACACACATGGACCCGCTTCCATTGCCTTGAGTGCATTCGTCTGCTTCACCAAGAACATAGCGTTTAGCATTGTCAATCTGCAAACACGGTAAAACGTCACATGCTTAACCCTAACTCCCTAGGCATTTTGCTAGGATGCAACCTGAATTTCGCAAAAGGGCAATTCCACGGTTACTCACGTTACATTTTCGTAATGTGAGTAACCAATTTTGTGCGTCTTGTTTATCATACTTAACACATTTTTCTGGATGTCATCTTTGGTGCTTAGGTAGGTCTAGGTCTACTCTATCTACCATGGGGATAACAGTTATTAAACCTTTTCAGTAAGGTAATTACAGCCCAAGGAAACTCAAAAGTACATCAAAAATGTAATGTGAGTAGCCGCGGAATTGCCCAAAATCCTCCACCTGCCTCTATGCAAAAATTGTATTCAGCCTCAATCCTCCAAAATCATCCGTTATTTCTTGAATGTGGTCCTTAGAAGGGCGACCACTGCCTCAAACCTTCAAAATCCTCAAGCAATCACTGTCAATGGGTGGTATGTATAAAAACTAGCATCTGCTCTTACTACCAATTTTTAAGCATTTATTTGCATCTGTATGAATAAAATCAAGCAAACGCTTTGACTAAAAAGCATTTGCTGAAATCTGAAATGATTTACTTTTTAGTTTTTAGCTTTTGCCAGACTTTAAGTTTTTACTTCGTTTTGTATGAATAAAAAAAGTATTTAATGCTCATTTTTCAAGGCTGGGTTGGGACAAAAAATGCTGCATTTATTAATGTTAATTGCATAAAATTAATACAGAAGATGTTCACAAACTACATATAACACCATACACTTTATGGATCTTTCAAAAACTTTTAATCTGCTTTTTTGATATTCCGATAGTGGAAGAGCAAATGTCCACTTTTCGTTCCAATAAGTTAATGCTTATAATGATTTTGTCCATACATGCAAGTACACACAGAGAATTTGTGGATTTTCCTTTTCCATTCAGTTTGTGAATAGAATTAAATTCTTACCATGTTACTAGAAGTTATTTTATTCTGAAATAGCTATGGGCTATAGCTATAGCTAATAAGTACCCAGTCAACCACCAGAAAAGGTGAGTTGGGGTGACCTAGACTGGTTCCTGATCCATCCACTGCATATTTTGAATGTATCCCAAGTTAACTGGAGGCGGGGATTAGTCTCGGAGACTATCCCAAGTTGAATTTGAACGTATTCGCGCGCCGATGATGCCTGATGCTCACGCGAAGACACTGGCTAATATAGCTTTTGCTCATTTAGGAAGTCGTGCGTACTTGGCGCGCGAACCAAAACAGTACGCGCCCGCTGTGTGTCCAGTCCACGGAGTTCTCAAAAGAGGTAAAAACGCGCCCTCTTTTGTTGGTGCATGGAGCCCATAGGTAATATGTTGTAAATATATGTGCGGAGCTTTCAATGTAATCATGTCATGATGCTGTGTGGAAAACTATTTTTCCATCATCCAAATTATAATTGCATTATTTTTTTCAGTGCAGTCTGAAAAAGACAATGGTGGAAAGAGCTGGAAGTCCAAAAAACTTAAATTTCAGAATTAATGGCAATATACGACAATTGCGAATATCAAAAGACCAAACTACCAATTATTATGAAATGCCTTACTTGACTGTTAGTGAATAATAGTCTCAAGCATCCTGTAAAATCATGGTAGCATGGTGTGCTGTCATTTTCAAGAAAGGTGATATGTATCAATTTCCAACGATGGTTGGCTGACTGTCGTTGGGAAAATCGATTTTATTTATTTATGGTAATGAAACAAAAGCCCAAAGAAACCTATAGAAAGGAGACAATGACAAGAAATTACAGTTTTAGAGGTAGGAGGAAAAGCCCAGGAGAATATTCTGGGGAAAACCCACGGAATCAGGCAGGGACTGAAAACCCAATCCACATATTGGCCCAGGCGGGATTTGAACCCAGGTCACAGCCTTGGAAGGCAGGGAAAGTACCGCTACGACAATTACCCGATTCCCCAACCTGAATATCTGTATTGATAGTGTAAAGAAAAAGTAAGGAGTTTGTGATTGACATTTGTAAAATATTGTCATTATGAGTTATAGGTTGTACATAATTATTATGTACCTCAATGCTGTACATATAACAGCTTTTGTGTATATATTCATATTTCTTTTGCTCTCACTTGGAGACAAATGAGTTTATATTTTTTGTGTAATCTAGAGTATGAGCGAACATTTGAAATTATTTCCTATTTGCTTATTATACGTATCTTATTACAAAATTCAGTTGCGATTCAGTTGTGTAAAGAAATCTCTGGATGAAATCTGTATTGTGAAGATAACAGGACTGTAAATGACTGAGTGAAAGTGCATTTTAAATTTTGGACTAAATTATTTACAGCTAAACATTTTGTGCCTAGCACAACTGCAATGTGTTCAGGCTGAGTAAGAGGGGAGTTGTTTTGTATTGCTTAGGTAGGCGTGGTCGAACATGTTGTGCAATCACTGTTACTAAATTGAAATAAAAGAAAATCCTCGGAGATAAGGTCTGTTGGCATTAACATCAAAACAAGATATGTAAAAGTACAAAGAATACAAATGGGAACAGAGATAGAGTGCATTTTATGTTTTAAGAACTTGCTGTTAAGGGAGAGCCATAAAACAGGGCTTTTTTATTCCTTTAAATGGAAAACTTTATTTTGTTCATTACAAAGGAATTTTTGCTAGTTATCTGAAGGGTATTTGAACTCGGAAGTCATGACCTCCGATTTCATTCGTCTTGACTGTTCAACTTCATGAAATGACTTCAAAGTAGTGATCTTGCTCTTATCTTGTTTATAAACCGAATTTTATACTACCTTTTTTAACTACATGTACCTGTAAACACTTAATTTGTTTCATATTTTGAAATACAGAATAGGCAATAAAATTGTCAGATCAATGTGAATTTAACTATTTTGGTACTTGGTTCCAAATTCTATGGATGTTTTTTTTCTGGAGTTTAAAACTGCGAACACTAGGCCTATGGTTGCAGGCCAGTAAATCGGTCCGAAATCGTGGCGCCGGCCAAATCACGATTTGCATGCCCTCAAATTCTTCGGTATTTGAGCATATTGTGGGCCGTGAACTTGAGGGTTTGTAAAAAATATGGGTGGAAGCCGTGCACAGGACTGAGAGCTGTAGTTCCGTGCAGTTTGAATTGGAGCCCTAAAAGCGCTCTATTTTGCAATGGAGTGTAGGCGTCGTTTTTCAAAATGGCGATGGGCTTCAGGACCACTTTAAGGGGTGATCATCTTCGGATGGAAATTTCTCCTAAAAGTCATCGGTTAACCCCCCGAAAATTGAAAACAAAATGAAAGATGATGAAATTAGCTGAAATTAGATGTCGGACCATTTTACTGGTCTGCACCCTGAAAGGTTTATTTATTATTGGGTGATTCTGAGGGTCAGAATGGATTAGATGTTTTCGTTTGCATATTGTGACAAATGTTACCAAAGAACCTTCAATATTTCTGTATTAAATGAAATTTAAGAACTATTGTAACGTGATGATAAATCAAGGATTTAAAACGGATTTATTTTGAAATTTTCCACGATTATAAAAAAAAAAAAAAAAGTCGATTTTCCTTAATTTTGCCAAAGATATCATTTTCCTAATAACAATGTATATGTATTTACATGTATATAGTCGATGAACTATTGAAGCCTGCATGCAGTCCAAGTTTAATTCAGGCAAGTTCAGCAGATTTTGTGAAAGTTTAGTTCAAATTGGGCTTTTTTTTTCGCTCCTGCCTCGTTTATTACTTCAAGAAATCTGGGAAAAATATAGGTCTAACTCCGACCATTTAGTCCCCATGCACCCAAATCCAACGCGTAGTGGAGAAACGCCTGGTACAAAATGTACTTCGACTTGTTCAAGAAAGATGCATGGACGAGGGAAGACAAAACTGAGACATGAGCCTGACTGCAAAGGAGATGAGCAAGGAAAAATAGCAGAAACAGATCACGATCCAGAGTTGTAACGAGTCACTGATTTTTGTGACTCGAGTCGAGTCGAGTCATTTTAAAGAAGTGACTCGAGTCGAGTCGAGTCACAGTGTGTGGTCGAGTCGAGTCGAGTCAAGTATTTAGCTTGAGTCAATTCGAGTCACAAATATTTGAACACTATATAATAATTTACAATAAAAAGCAACATACACAAGAGAGAAAGAATACAAGGCACCAGTCTATTACGAAAATCCAAAGACATAAAGTATGCTGTATGGTACCCAACCAACAGTTTCCATTGCTAGCTCACGACCCACGTCACAGATAAGAAGATGTGAAACTTCGGTCTTATAACTGGTTTGGCTTCGGGTCTAGATTTTGTTGTTCGCTGATCGCTGACAACGTCAAAACCTACTTACATTATACAAAACTGTTTCTGATTATTGAAAGGTGGTCCCGTCCGTATCCATTTTTTTGTGTGAAATCGGGACATAAATTTAGCCAGCGTTCCAACAAGAGCTTTATAAGAAATCGCCCGAAACCAATGAGGAAACCACGGATTGAGAAATGCGTTTTCAGTCTGGTTCCGGGTTTAGCATTGCATGCTATAGAACCACCAGGTGGGAGTCCGCGACACGGTGTATGTTTGTTGTATCATTATGGAGGAAGGAAAACAGACGGCCGCTGTATATGAGCGTACACTATTCGCTACGGAAACGTATTACCGCCACACATTTTTTTTTTTTTTCACGTACGTACGTGATAGTTTCACGTACGTACATGATAAGTTTCACGTACGTACGCGATAAGTTTCACGTACGTACATGATAAGTTTCACGTACGTACATGATAAGTTTCACGTACGTACATGATAAGGGATAACCCATGGGAGTGTATAGGAGGACACTAAATACTATCGGGTACAATGGTTTGCCGTTCTTTTTTCACATGCTAGGGATGCTTATTTATGAACAGTTCACTGAGGCCTGACTCAGAATTGTAAATATTGGTCATATCGCTACACTAAAGGATATATTGGACAGCTACTGTCAGGCTGCCGCAATCGCCTATAGTAGGTAGCAAGTTGGATTGTGGATCAATAGGTCCCTGGTTCGAATACACTTATACATGTCTTCACTTTGCATTCATTAGTTTTTTTTTCTCCAAATGTGTCTTTGGGATAATTTCAGTTGAGGGAATATTTCAGTTGAGAGAAACAGAGAGTCGGAGAACCACCTATAGGTGTCTTGAAAAACAATTGGGAGTGTGCACCATGAGTGTCATGGTGTCCATGGGAATTTTGCATGGCAAATGCCATGGAATATTTCTGTAAGGGTGGTCTCAATCCTCCAAATTCGTCCATGTAGCAAAGAGTATTTTGAAGGAATTGGGATGTTTAGGGTTAAAAGGAAATGGAATTCTACCACCGAAAGCTCGCATACTATTCCCCTGGTATGTGAACACGCACGTACTAAAACGCACGCAGTAAAACACGTGATATACTGAAACTTATCACGTACGTACGTGAAACGTATCATGTACGTACGTGAAACTTATCATGTACGTACGTGAAACGTATCATGTACGTACGTGAAACTTATCACGTACGTACGTGTAACTTATCATGTACGTACGTGAAACAGAAAACTTATCATGTACGTACGTGAAACTTATCACGTACGTACGTGAAAAAAAATAAATAAATGTGTGGCGGTAATACGTTTCCGTAATTCGCAAACATAACGTGACGTGAACAAAAATTGGCAACGCGAACGGCGCGGCGTAAGTCATTGCAAATATTTTTCGCAAGTAAGTTTTGCTTTTATTTTTGGGACTCGAGTCTTATTAGCCTTCCTCGAGTCGAGTCAAGTCATTCTGGTGAGGGACTCGAGTCGAGTCGAGTCATTTGCTCGCAGTGACTCGAGTCGAGTCGAGTCATTTACCCGTCGGGACTCGAGTCTAGTCTGGACCTACAAGATTATAAATTTTAGCACCGCGATATGTCAAATAATCAATGGCAAAAGGAAACTGTGATGCTTTGGGATACTTGTTGAAATTATGTCCTCGCGAATCCGCAGCGAATAAACAACGAATCATTCCCTACTTATGAACTACTTATGAGAAATATTTTTATACAACGCTACGAATTTTATTTTTAATGTTAGCCGACGGAATGAAAATGTAAATGAAAGAGCTTCGGCCAACGTCTGGGTCACCAGTTTTAGGGACTAAGTTATATTATAAATATGTACCCTAAATTAATATCTGGAGTCTGCGCTCTAAACTTGCAGCGGCTTCTTCTGGACTCCTGGTTGTTCGTCAAACTTCTCTTGGTTTGGTCGATGATAATTATTTACAGGCGTATATACAAAAACTAGTGTGTCCTTCCACGGGAACAGTCACTGTAAGGAGCAAACACTACCTAATGGTTCCTATTCCCGTATCCGGACACATATGGCATAAAAATGGCGACTGGAACTGTAGAGTAGACGACTATAACGCTGCTAAGTCTCTACACAGCGAAGGAGTGGGGTGAAAGCATGTGCTCCTGGTTTATATACCGACGCGTAGAATGGAATGTCCTGCCCTGCCCAGTCCAAAGAACTGAACACAATGGGCAATAGAACACAAAAATGCCTTGGCCACTAGGGCAGAACTCAGCTGCTGTAGGAATTTCACTACAGAGTCACCAAAAACTGTGACTCGAGTCGGACTCGAGTCGAGTCATTGACTCGAGTCATTACAACTCTGTACACGATCATTCGTATCATCAGTTCCCGAAGATCAAGAAGACAAATTGAGAAAACATCTTCTATTTTGGCAAGAAAGGGCGGAAACATCGGAGGGTACAATACAGGATCTGCAAGGCAAAGCTCCATCGTCAGGCGGGTCAGGAATAAGCCCATGCTAGACCGGACCTCACCAAGAAAATGAAATATGAGAACCTTGTCATTCAAGAGGATGTTCTACCTCTGGAGGAAACATCTGAAGGTTTGTCCAAAATTCTACATTTATTTTCCAAACCCTATTTTGAGTTAATAATCCGATATAGTATTACATGTAAATGACTAAATGTATAACATTGAAAACACCATATAAAAAGTGGAGGAAAATACATGCATATTTTGTTTAAGACTGTACATGTATATACTAGACATTCCTACATTACCTTAGCCTGCTGCATTGTTCAATTCCGGTTATAATTAATTGCTAAATTCTACAGGTTCGCAACTTGAATTTATAAAGACCTAGAGAATAAAGGAGCAAAATATAAAGTACGATGGCGCTGACTTTTACCCTCACCCCTAACCCAAATGTATACCTTGTCCTACCCCCACGAATGTTGGTATTTTTAACTCCACCAAGGAGGTTATGTTTTCATCGGATTTGGTTCGTTTGTTAGTTGGTTGGTTTGTCTGTTAACAAGATAACTCAAAAAGTTCTGGACGGATTCGCATGAACACATTTTTAGGGGTGGTCCTTGGTAGAAGTACAAATCGATTAGATTTTGGAAGTGATCCGGATCTCGGTCTGGATCCAGGATTTTTTAAAAGGATTCTTCACCATTTATGGGGATATTGACAATATGGCGGGGAATTGTTCAGCCTTGGCGGAGGTTTGCGCTCTCTGAGTGCTTTCTAGTTTATTAATTGGACCAGGCGAGCAATCGATCTAGCCTTTTTGCGACATTAATTTAAATTGTCCTCTAAATAGGAGCCCAAGCATTAGGGAGACAATGAAATGTCTCCCTAATTCCACATGTCTCACTTCTGACGCTGAGCGTCTCCCAAATGCTATAATTTACCATAGTTATAATAACCAACCTCTTGATTTACAAGTGTATAGGCCTACTGTAATACATTCATCTTTAAAAAAAAAATCTATAATTTTATGCTAGTTAATACTTCCCCTGTTTCCCCCTCTAAATCATATTTTCTCTTATTTCTAACTTTGTAGTTATAAATTGTTTATTAACATGCCCTATATAAGAAAAGCTAAAGGTTATAAACGTATAATAAAATTTTAATGGTGAACTTACAATAATTCGACTTTCTAATTATAAATGATAATGGTGAATATCGATTAGGATATACGTGTTACGATATTACAAGAAAATCTGCTAAATCTACAGACAGGGTCGTCAGTGTGCAATTTAAACATGACATTGATATTTGTGCTTAAAATTGCAGTTTTCAATTTGTCTCTACTTGACGCATTGCATGGTGATGTCAGCAAGATTCGGAAGGGGTATAGGAGAACCTGTGGAAACCTGTTGTTTCGATGTGCACATCTTCCATTTTGTAACAACTATATTGACACCAACATATAGTGACACCAACGTGGTTCCAAGGATTGTATAGATAAAGTTTGAGTGCTTATTGTGATCTATCTGAACTGACGCAGATCAACTTCCTCAGCTCTCTACTAGCCTGTCCGTATTTATGTTAATAATAAAGCGCAAACACAGCGAGGCCATGCTGTGAGTCGAGAACGGCAAAGCTCCAATGGAACACGTAGGTGCGTAACCTACTCAACCGCCAGGAACCCGACTAGCCAAGTCGCCCCCAGCAGCAGACTCGTGTAGTAGACAGATGAACTCGTGGAACAAGTCCCACCGGTCATAGGAGGTAGAGATGTACTCATATTTGGCAATTCTGATGTACTCATATTTGGCAATTCTGTTTGTAATTCTGTTGAGTATAGAAACAATACAACATCCAAGCAATAACCTCAAACGGAATTAATACAGCTATACATCCACGGGCTACTTCAAGTTTTTTCATCTTAAAAGGGGTTTCTGGAAATACATGCGGAGTCTCTCCCAGACTTGTATTCGAGTCACCAAACATCGAGTCCGAGTCTGCGTCCAGTCGAAGTCACGAGTCTCATAGGTCGAGTCAGAGTCCGAGTCACGAGTCACCTTGAATGCATATTGGAAATAAATTGTGAGGTACTGCTAAAACCTTGCAGTGTAAAATGTTTCCATTCTTAACAGCTTTCTCTCATTTCAAGAACTGGAAATAACAAAACAAGGCACCAGTGTCATGTGGAAAGGATAATCTGGTACTATCAAGGTTGCAAGTCCGAGTCATTCGTCATCGTGACTGAGTTCGAGTCCGAGTCACTGCGGAAAATGAGACTCGAGTCCGAGTCCGAGTCACGATCGAATCATACAAGTCTGGTCTCTCCATAATTATTTTCAGCTGTGTAGGGTCTGGTGTCCAGGTTTAACTGTTCATATGACAATATGTCATTGAAAGCGATTAACTTGTAAACTTACCCAAAACAACGTTGAAAGTACAGGTAGCCTCTCCTCCAGCCGTATCAGTTGCTGTGCAGTTGAAAGTGGCGTCGTTGCTTGTAAGATTTAATGCACCGCTGGTCTCAACGCAATGTATGGGCAGGGAGTTGTTAACGTTATCGGTAGCTTTGACGTCAAGGTCAGATATGATTTCGCTTACTACAGTTTTGCTCGTCCGCACATCGTTGCAACTATCGATCGTTGGTGGTGCACCGTCCTTTGCAGCGCAGGGTGTTCTTGACGAAACACTTACTATCGCAGGGTCTAAATATCACAAATGCACGTACGACATTAAGAAAGTATCAAAGCGGTAAACAATCCTCCACATTTTCCTCCGATATGTCAGGGTCTAATAAGTTCAAAGCATTGGTAGAACTTATCAAGGATTCCAATAGGACTTCTTATCCGGTTTCCAGCGGCGTAGCCAGGATTTTTAAGTGTGTGTTTGTCTGGGGGGGGGGGGGGGGGGCAGGGAGGCACCAGCATATTATGATGGGCACCAAGGGTGGGCCAAACAACAGCATTTCCCCTTAATGTCCAGACCACTGCAAGTGCAGCACATCCGAAAAGTGGGGAAGGGGAGGGGGAGAGGGCACCTATTTTGATTCTAGAGGGCGCTGTTTTTGCATATTATTTTTTTTTAACATGAAGGGTACCGTTAAGGGGAGTCAAAAATAATCATTTTAAAAAAATCATTTAAAAAGACTTTTCCTTGGAAAGCGGCCAATTTCGCATTTTTGGTGGGGGGCCGGCACCTGGGGGTCACTGGGAATTTGGGGGGGGGGGCCTGGGAATTGGTACGTCCCCCCGGGCCCCAGCCACAGATTTTTGTGATGAAACATTGTCATAACTACATGTATACCTATACAGATTAGCTGGTGAACCATTAGCAACGTGTACGCCTACGTACCGTAACAAGCCGGGTCGGAAGCCGGAGGCGTTGCTGGATTACAGTAACAGCACAGGACGCCCTCTCGTTGAGATATGCACTTTCCGCCTTCTGCGCAGGGAGAACTTGAACAGGAGTCTTTCAGCGGTGGGTCATATGGTATTCGGACTATTAAAAACGAGGTATGAAATATGACCAATTGAAGGAAAGATCACTGATAGTTGACATTTTCTAAAATGGAGTTTGCTCGTTAAAAAGGGACATCTTTAAATCGGCAAACTCATGTTTGAAATTAAAATTATTGCAAGTACTAGGCCTACATGTAAAAAAAACCGTGTCCTACATTGATCCTGAATACCTCTGTTATCCCGTCATGGGTATAAAAAACTAGACACAGCAACAAAGGCTGTGGTCACGCGCTCTTACGTTACGCGAAACGCACAAGCTTGTCTAGGTTGTATCGATCTATATGCCCAGCCGTAATTGTTGTATTACAAAACACTGCATTCGAATTGACCAATCAAACATTTAGTCCTGATTTGGAAATGAAATGACGTCACGATTTAGTGATGTCGACTTTGATTGGCTGAGGCGCGGGATCACATAATTCTGCGTGCTTAGATTATATCAGACGTTACACAGGAGACTTGGCTCCGTGGATAACGGGTCATTTAACAGACTAACCTAGAAATTTTTTTCATGCATATCACTCCATAACTTTTTGAGTTATTTTGTTAACAGACAACCAACCAACAAACCAACAAAATCAGATGAAAACATAACCTCCTTGGCGGAGGTAAAAATGTCACCCAAAATGTGACCTCATAAAATCAGGTCTATAGGCCTAGTAGAGCCTATACCCACCCGTTGAGCATATCTGTGTTGTTACGCCGTTGCATTCCCCGGTTGCCACGGTAGGCCTGCCTGGGTTGATGCATGTGTTGGATCGGTTGCATGAATCTGCATGGATGGAGAGAGTGTCCATAAGAGATTACTTAGAGATTGAGAATGGACCGATCCAGTAAGCGTAATTTTTATTCCTAGGAGGGTTTAATAGGGGCAATGTCATGAATAATTCAGTAGTTTCGATGGGAAAATTATGTTTATCCATGAGAACGGACAATGACATCAACAGCATTGTTGTTAGTTACTCAACTAGTTACAATACATTAAAGCATTTTAAAGAACGGTTGTCGCCGAGCTACCACACAGTAGCCTATTGGATAGCGAGATGAGCTTATAGACCGCTTGCAGACGCGTTCGATAATCGACGCGCGAAGGCGCGCGACGCCATGTTGTGGGACAAAATGTGCATGGATAGATATGCGCTTGACCCACAACATGGCGTCGCGCGCCTTCGCGCGTCGATTATCGAACGCGTCTGCAAGCAGTCTTAGATACAAAGATCCCTGGTTCGAATCCACGTCGTCGCTGCTCATTTTCATCAGCTATTTTTCTTCTCTAAATTTATCACTGAGATAATTTTAAATTAAGGGGAAAATAGAACGATAACCTAAGTCTTGCAATGATTCAAAGGAAAACTGAATTATTCATGACATTGCCCCTAACCCTCCTAGGAAAAAAAATTACGCATCCAGTAAGCCCCTCCCACTGCGCATGTGGGCAAATTAACACGTGCCCCTCTCCAATGCCACACTGCATTTTCCTGCCGCGCGCATCATATGCGCGTGCACGCACGTCGGACTTTTGTGCACGCATGTCGGACATAAATCACGGCTGTGATTGGTCAGAATACCATGGGGCGGTGCTTACTGGATCGGTCCATTAGACCGCAAAGGATCCAAACCAACAAAATAATGATCCCTTTTTTTGTTAATTATCGTAAATGTACCGTACTTTATTAAAGCCAGAGTCCATAATTTGCAGCTATCCAAAAAGTAACTGGCGTAAAACATACTTGGTTGAAAGATAGTAAGAGGACTAAACTCCCTGCCAAATCATTCTTTCTGGCAAGCTGTCATTTTGAAGTAATCGACGAAAGAAGGCATTTCCAACGGTGCTTCTTTAAGACGCACCGTAGGAAAATTTAAATTAGGAGTTCGTTTTGTTATTCGGCGAAGCGCGCGCAAGCATTGGCACGACGCACACGCACCCCCGGTTGCTATAAATCGTCGGATCAGTGCGCGATATAGCGTTGCTAGCTGCATTCGGCTCAGCGAGAACGTGTCTCGGACGTTGAATTCAGGCGCAATTCAAAACATGATTCAGCAACTTTTGATTTGAAATCGAGATCCTAGCATGATGTTTTTCTCCAAATATACAGCTGAAGCTGAGCTGAAACTTCATCAGGTTAGTTGTTCTGCACTCTTCTTTAGATTTTTAGCACTTTTGTTGCTTCAAACGAACAAAATGCACAAATTACAAATGATGGACTGTAACTTTAACGTACGCGTTGTCAACACTTGCAGCGATGGATCCATGGTTTTTGAAGGGGTGGCTGAAGTGACCAAGTCCAGAATATTTGAATGAGGTAAGTGAGTTGCCATCAACCAAGATTTAGATTTTTATTACATTGTACAAGTAATTTAAGCATTGTTAGGATGGAAGGCTAAGATATAATCCGTGGTGGATGGATTGCTTGGGGTGACACTCCGCCCCCTCCCCCCTTAAAATTGATCCTTGCTATCAGAAATATATACTAAAAAAAAACCTAAATTTTACAGTGGTCCATGAAACGATCAATGCTGTGAAGCTAGTCATCTGAGTGAGAACCAGAGATTACACACAGGAATTCAAATTCAAATGCCATTCGATTATAGCATCAAGATTGAAACATTGTTTTTACTGTCTGATTTTGTGTTTTGTATAAATCAGGTCCCCTTTCTGAGAATGAAAATGGTAATTTTGTCTGTTTTCCTTTGCAAATTTCGTTCATCGTATAGTATTCATCAATGCGTATCGGTGAATGATCCGTACATGGCCGTGGTGGACACTGCAGCTACATTATGTGTATTTCTATTAAATTAGGAATAACCTGTTAATACAGAGTATGCAAACTACGTGAAAGTTATTATAAGTATATATCATGGATGCATCCTATTTTGATTTTATGAAATGGAACGTGCCACATATCTTTTTAGTATTTTGTTTTCGTTATTCGGTATTGGTGCATTTAAATGACATGTATATACACTTACCAAAGGTAGCCGCTGACTCATCCCCATTTGTGACGCAGTCGTAACTCGAAATTGATGATGAGTTACAAAAATCTATTTGAGAAATAAAAGTACCAGGGTAGATTACATGCCGTGTTCTACCATTTAAAAAATTCTCACTGCCGTATTTATTCTTCGCACATGGACATGCGCAAAAACACATGCGCAATACCATAAAGGAGATACAAAAATTGATTTTTGTAAGCGTTTCCATGGAACGCTATGGGGTACTTGCATGTTATACGTGCATTGTTCCCCCTTATCCCTCTTCTTTAGAATTTCCCTAGTCTGGCACGGTCGAACAAAAACCGACTTGTGGAGTTCCATTGTTCCTCTTTTTTTGGGGGAGCATTTCCTTTTTTGGGAGCACCCAGAGTTAAGTACCCTCCGAGTACGCCCATGCAGCGGCGTGGTTGGGTGGGGGCGGCACGCCAAAAAACCACTCGTCGCCCCCCAGGAGCGCCCCACTGGAAATGTGTAAGTCATATGAGTGACCATGGTTAAGGGGTTTAACAGAATTAACCCCCCCCCCCCCCCCCCCACTAGCCCCTATGGTGAGAAACAAGGCTACGACGGTTCACCCATGCGTACAGTCCCTCAGGAATTTTAAGGAAAGATGATCTGATGATGTGCTATTATATTATAGCCTAATCCTATCAAAAACATGCATTCTGAGCCATGTTATTACTTGGGTCAATATTGGTCAAGACCCCCATTGGTTTGTTTACAGGGGCTAGTATGCCAGGGAGAGTGGAAGGAAATTTTGACCGTTTGTGACCTCTTAAATAGCTGGAGGGTTCAACTAAAAGTCGAGCATTCTCGACCTTTTTCGTTGGTTGTCTACAACTCCCCGATTAATTTGATTAGCCTCTTAATTCATTTAAGAAGACAATTCTTGGCTAAAATAGTCCCCAAAAGAGTACATATACATTACTTACCAGCTTGACTACCGCTCAACCAACCGGCCATTACGACAAAAGTAATCCACTTGAAATGGGCACCCATCTGGATAATTCTGGGAGAAAAAGATAAAACTAGAGATTTGTGTTTGTCGAGTAACCAACGCTGGGTGATCGGTCCAAAAACTATTTCACAGGACATTGCCAAGTTGTGAATATTTTCATGTCAGAACAGAAAATGGATCATGAAATTCAGCCCACCTTTGGATCAGAGATGATGTTGGTTGAGACTTGAAAGTTACAAGTTCGTACCATAAACCATTGATAAGAAACCCGCAGAGAATTATTGTCAACAAAAAAACTTGGAAGACGGAAAGAAATTTACATGATATAGGTGAATCCTTATACCATTTAACTAATTCAAACTAAATCAAATTTCTTCATGCATGCCCGCCAAAACTATTGCCCTTCCCATACGTATGTTTACCTCACATACCTCGTGTGGACATTCCGTCACCGACACCACGAAGTAACACTCTACCGTGTTAAAGCATATTTTTTTCGATTTTCAGTTTTTTGGATTTTTAAACATTATTCATCAAGGCCTACCATTGCACGAAGTTTCAAAGCTTCAAGAGCTTTACTTTAATAATTACGCTAAGTATCCATGGCAACATTTGCGCAAAAGTGACAATTTTCGTTTTCACGAGGTAACACTCAAGTTCCATTTTCCATTGCAATGCATGGCGCGCACTCTGCTCATAAGTGAGCAAAACGTTTTCACGAAGTAACACTCTTCTTGTAACAAGTTGTATGAGCGCGCGCGCGCTGACCTGAAGTTGCACTTTCCTCGTGTTAAATACATTGAAGAGTGTTACTTCGTGAAAACGAAAATTTACAGTTTCGCAGCTTTTTCGGTTTCACGAACTAACACTCATCTTTTTTCTCTTATTTCTTGTTTATTTAATACACAAACGAGTGAAAAACAGCTGATTTAATAAATTCAATTCATCAAGTGTCCACAACGAGAAACCCAACTGAAAATACTCTGTCGTTTTGACGCAAAGTGTTGTTTTAGAAGGCGTTCAACTTTAGTTGCCGTTTTCTCCGATTGCTAGTTTTTACTGGTATGTAGACGGGTGTTACTTCGTGGTGTCGGTGACGATTCCTTTGTTTTCGTGTTGTTAAGAAAAACGGTAGAAAAAAAATCAGTTTACTTACACCGTGAACACATTTTCGACCAAATATTTTTAAGAGTGTTCCTCTTCATTTTGCGACGGATAACTCTAACCTGCAAAGCCTCTAAACCTGTTTTCTATGGCGGGGGGGGGGGGGGGGGGGGGCGGATTTCCCTGTCTGGACGTGGACAAGTCCACACAACGTCGCTGGGATTGTGTGCATATAATTCCACAATGCATGTACACCATCAGAGTGCATGCTATACTAACCTGCGTCTCCTTACTGCAATCCAATGATGTCCCGTGTCTGCGTGATTGATTTCTGGTCGGTCCGATTTCTGCTCTTTTTGGAATCCAAGTTCATCCAGCCCAGTTGGATGATCAGAAATCGCCTTACCGTATTGCACCTACTTGTGGTGTGAGAAACTTAAAGATTGTCTCCAGCGGTTGGGTTGAATCTACACGTATCTGTCAGTTCGGAGCTATGAGCGTAGGCCTATCTATTGCTCGTTAACCCTAGTTTCACACCAACTTCAGGGAGGCAAAGGTTGTTTTTTTTCACCCGGTATTCCTAACAGCAAAGTTAGTTAGAGAAAAATCAACCAGTGACTGATCGAGGCCCGACCTTAGGATTGCCCCATTTTTGTCTCGCCCTACTCAAGGTTATAAAATTTGCAGTTATGCACAATCTGCATTTGAATAGTATTACCGCGCTTTCAGTAAAGCTATAGAGGAAGGAACACGAACTTCCTCCCTCCATGGTAAAACTGAAAAGAAAAAAACATGACATGACGAGCAGTACCCAGACTGTACAAATACTGTGTGGGTGGAAACTCGCGAATGAACACACAAACAACTTGGCTTTGGGACTGTGCCATGAACTACTGCCAGGAAACCATGGAAAGATTTACCACCCACAAAGAGGTGATGTTAGGATAGTTTGTGTCGGATGATATTGCAGCCGACCCGAGTTACCTTTGTACCAATCAGCATCCGCGTTTCCTTCATGACCCGTGATTCCTGACCTTTTTTAAGTGTAATTATAACCCGGACAAACAAATTGTCAGGGGGAAAAAACGAAAGAAACTAGAGATTCGCGTTTGTTGAGTTACAAACGCGGAGTCCCGCTAGCTCGGTGGTCGAGTGGTAGGACGTACGTACGTCTGCACTAGAAAGCAGGAGGGCGTGGGCTCGAGTCCAACCCGAGTGATTTTTTCCATCTTTCACTCGGGAGGTTTCTGCAGTGTTTATACGTCGGTGAAGGGCAAGACCTAATTTTGATTTGCATCACCCCAACGCAAACATTCTATCTTATGAATAGTTAATGCAGTACCTGCTGCTATATACATCAGATTCGATCCAGCCCGGCCGCGAATTTTCCTTTCCCACTAGTGACGACATCCGCATACATGGTTGTCTAGCGCCCTCTACGATACTTTTGTGATACGTACGCAGGTATATTATTATTATTTTCCCCAGTCGATACACGGGAGGTTTTGCATCGCGAGGTTGCGGGTTCGAATCTTGGTTTTGCACCTGAATTTGTTTCATTTCTAATCTGAGGCTTTGGAGGATTTTTTTAAAAAGGCTAATGAAGTCTGAATTTCATAATGCTCGAAATCATTTTTTTTCTAATTTTATATTTTCTTCTCATGTTTTTAGAAAAGTTAAGTCCAAAACGCCATAGCGTACACCCATATGCGGATGTCGTTTGGGAAAAAAAATCGCAGCCTGGCCAATCCCGTTAGCTCGGTGGTCGAGTGGTAGGACGTCTGCACTAGAAAGCAGGAGGTCCTGGGTTCGAGTCCCACCCGAGTGATTTTTTCCAACTTGAGTGATTGGGCAGACAACTATTTCATTAGACACTACCCAGCTGAATGTTTTTATGTCAGCACGGAAACAAGGATCATGACATTTAGCCTTTCCACTTCAACCAGTCTTTTGGGGTGTGATATATTTCAGTGTACACTATTTGTGCATGTACAAGTTGTTTCCGGTTTGAACTTAGTTCAGAGAGGATACATGTCCATCATAAGTTAAAAGAACTTGTGAAAAAAAAGGGAATTGTGTATTAATAACACCTGAATTCCGGTTTGATGACGTCACAGCATTTGCAAGCCAAAGGTCAACATTGCACCGGATATCATTATTTGGTCTACTAAGATAGTCAGGAGACACCAATCAAATGATGGATTTACATTTTTTTTAATGATCATTTTGAAATTCTCCTTTAAGTAACTTCCGGTCTCATGACGTCATGATTTTGAAACCTTTCCAAGTCATTTGCGGTTGAATGTTAAAATTGTTACGATGATTTTTAAATTCAAAAAGTCAAACTTTGATTTTCCGCTAGAGAAAGGCGCCCGTTCGGTTGATGACGTCATCATGCTGTTTTGTGTGTTTGGCATTACTCACTAGACACATTCATGATGTGTTTGTCTGTAGTAAATTCACTTTTGAAAGTGACAGTAATACGGTTATGATTTCGTGCGCGGGATTAAGAAATAGAGAATCTAATGCAAAATGTATAATGTATAGATTTCAAAAAGTATCCAGGTGGATGCCCCTGACCCCCTAGAAAGGACGTTCCTTCGGCACGCCTTCACTTATACCCATGGGCGTCGCCAGGATTTTTTCTAGAGGGGGCAAAAAAATTGTTTGCCAAAAAGTGCTTGTATTTCTCAACACATTCTCGATTTATCAGTTTTAGAGGGGGGCAGGGACATTCCCCCTCCCCCCCCCCCAACTCATTAAATTTACACCACTTTGTCTTCGCGCCTCTTTTTTTTTTTTTTTCCTTCCTTTTTTTTCCCTTCCTGTTTTTTGTTGCTTTTCCGGGGGGGGGGGGGAGTGCCCCCCTTGCCCCCCCCCCCTCGCGACGCCCATGCTTACACCCCCTCCCCCGTATCCTACGTATACCTGCCCCTGCATGCTCCGCAATAGTCTGGTTCCCAGACCAAAAGATTCCGACTATTCCTGATGAATCTTAGGTCCGGTAGCCTCCGGTAATACAATGTATTACAATTTACGTCACGTGACTAAAACGGGAGGAATTCCTCCTTTTTCCGCAAATTTCCGAAGTTTGCCGAAGTTGTTTCGTCGACAATCGGATACCGCCCGAGTATTTCCGAGTATATAATATAGGTTTAGTTAACTGCTAATTGCTTATTAATTTTATTTTTTTATTTTAAATGAGTTGATAATTAATATTCATTGTTTTCATTTAGAAAACTTGAAATTCAACGACGATTTTGTGCATCAAATATATTCGGATCGTACGGGCGAACTTTTTGCTGCGTCATGTACAATTTTGAATTTGACGACCGTTACCGATATTTTCCAAAACTCGGTCTTCTTCGGCTCCGCCTGCTAACAGTGCTATTTGGTTCCCAAATTTTGAAGATTCCAGAGCAACATTACTCAATGTTATCTTACAAAAACATCAAACTGTATTATCATAACTGTACGATATTACGAAGCAAGTGATTTATTTAAAGATTTGATCAGAACATTAAAAGCTACAAGTGATAAAGCGAAATCGGAAACGAAGCCGCGCTTTGAAAAAGGGCCATTGATGTCGTCATGTTTATTTTTAGCTACGGAGGCTGCCTGACCTACAATTTAAGACGTGAGCGTCGGGAATAATTGTCAGGTCCCGGAACCAGACTAGCTCCGCAATAAAATGAAAACATAATGCGCGCGAGTTCAAGACGCACGTCAAACACCTCTACCGCCCTCCGGAGACAGTCACGAGTGCAGTCTATTATTTTATCGCAAGGCCTTAGAAACTTTCATTGAACTTCACTGCAGCAATGAATAGAACACGTTTATACTTAGAGTTGTTGATCTCTGTATTGTGCTCAGAGAAGTTAACGACCACAGATGATTTCTCTCCCTTGGAATAAAGGCGAACTGGTTGAAATGTACATCATGGCGTTAGCCGATTCACAGAGAGAATTTGATTCCATCGGCTGTGCCCTGGTTCTTCTGTCCTTCAGCGTCAACTTGTTGCATGGATGTGTATAAAAGAGCCTTGGTGTGCTGCTACCGACACTAACGGACCAGTTTACGACGAAAACAGTCGGGTACGTACTAGGTCACTATTTCTACACATTTTTCTATAGTCAGGCACCTGACTAAAGACAAGAAATGAAGAAGTCAGTCTTGTGAAACAGTTGGACCATGGATGGACATGTAGAAGTCTAGTCTTTAGCCTCATTTTGAAATCACTTGACTTCCCTCTCATGTGCAAGCTGCCAAATATAAAGTCTCCTTTAAAAATGGAAATGAAGCTTCAAACTTGGTTGGTGAAATACTCAGGACCTTTTCTTTGCCACAATGACAGTTTTGGAGAAATGTGCTGGCTAAAGAGTGAGTAAAGTTCGCCAGATCTTCTTTGCATCATTTTGAGCACTTAAGGTCCCAGTCTGGACCTGCAGCATAATACATGTGCTTTCTAACAATAACATGTTCCACAATAATTAACATGACTATGCAACCAAAAAATGAGTTGAAAATACAACTTTTAGGCTTACAGAACAGAACTAAATATCACACTAAGCACTAAATCATTTATATAAATTGTTTAAGTGCAAACTGCTGTACAAACCGTTTAATAAATCTCTGCGGGATAATTGCTTTGGTTGCAAACTCTAAAACGCTGAGGCCATGTTGCAGTTTGGAATGCTTGGTTACCGTGATTCTGGTGCAGCGCCCTCACCAGGCAAAAAGAAGAAATCTGAGTTTGGCCGCTACAATGACTGTACATGATGTATTAAAATGAAAATGTATTTGTGTTATCGAACTCCAAGTCTTTCAACAAGCCATGCGTTCTTACTTTTGTGTTCAGTTATTGGTAATGTTTACATTTTATTCAGAAACCAACATAACCAGAATCTATTAGATTGTGTGCATGTTCATATCTAATTAAATATGCAAGAACTGTAAAACATAGAGTTAACTATTTATAGCCAATAAGTGAAGCTGTAGTACAAGTCCACAACTGATGCAAACATTTCCTCTATATACATGTACCATTATTATTTTTCGGAATCGGTTGAAATGTGTTGATTTTTTTCCCCAAAAAGCAATGATATTCTGCGTAATTATGCAAATTAGATAACTTAGAAAATTTGGAAGGCTCATCTTTAGAAAGCGAAGTTTCAAAATGCTCTTATTTTAACCAGAATTAATTTCCTTGGCTGAAATTCGGACTTAATATCCCTTTTTTAAAACTCTTCCATTTGCGACGGATCAACCCACCTTGGAAATTCCAAGTTTTTGAGTAAAATCCATATTTCGTGAAAACCTTGTGGAGACCTATTCATCTATAGAAATTGCCCTGTGGAGACCTTTACAATGTTTTGTTTCCTATTGTGTGCTGTCTCCACAAGGATACAAATTTGAGCTCAAAATATCAAACAGTTCAGATAACAAGAGACATGGACAAAAAATAACATTTCTGTAGTCCTCTTTTCGGTGCCAATTAGGAAATAAACAGAAGATACCCTTTTACCCTCTTAGCTAAAAATTAACCCCGTTTTGCGAAACATAATTGCTTATAACTCTCGAACACAGTGACCGATTACAACAATTTCAAAAGTTCTTTTCCAATAAGTTACGTTGAAGTTTCTCCCCACTAGCCTACGCGAGTATTCACATTTCCTTATAGAATGGAAATAAACCTGAAGCCTGAATAGACTTTGGTTGCTTGCTACGGGTATAGTAGTTGTTGCCCTGCACAGGAAGGTAGCAAAAATAGCGAATGCCATGTGACTCGCTTTCAGCCAATCAAGATACAGAATCTGTAGTGACGTATCATTAATGTTCTGTGCGAGTTAGCTATTTATAATAGCTAACTCACACAGAACATAGCTATTATTAATATTAGCCCAAACCCCACCTAGTTCTTGTAGTATGCATTATTTCCGCAGTGTGTGCATTACAATTTGAATGCACACAGCTTTAACCTCAGACATTTTCCTTCCGATACTGAAAACAAAAACGATGGCGGGCCTTTCAGTTTGGTGGTGCTACACAGCTGTATTTCTCTTTTCAATTATGGGATTGATGATGAGTTTTTACATAGTTGAAAAGACTTACATACCGCTGTATAATCGACCATATTCCAAGACTCCGGGTAAATTGGCCAATACTCGGACAAGACAGAGTGCATCGACGGCCAGGTCTACGGTCACGTCGACGATATCGCCGGTAGTCCAAACCGAGCAAATGCGAGAGGTGACTTTGCACTGCAAGATGGTGTGCAGCAAGTAAGTTCTATTAGGCCATCAGCCTGGGTATTTGGTCGGTATCAAATGAGGGAAATAATGCTCATTGTGATTTTTAGCAAGGTATATGCACCCCTGTAGTTAGAAAATATTTGATAGCATTGAAAAAAAAATGGCGGCCCAAACATGCTTGTTACCCACTGATCTCTACAATATAATACAGATAATACCAAATATAATTAATCCGGTAACAAGCATATTGGCGGCCATTTTGAGAAAAAAATAAAAGTGTTAACGCCCCCCCCCCCCAAAAAAACCCTGCCACTGCTCACACTGCAAAGCTATCACACATGTTCCAACTCTAGATGTGCCTACCTTGCCAAAAATTGCTATGAGCATTGTTCCTTTCGACCATTTGCATACAGGTGGCCCAAGTTTTGGACCGAAGCTGATATATGTATATGTATACCTTGTGTTTATATTCCGGGACTGTTTCAGTGTAGTAATTTTCAGAGGGAATTACTCCAAATGCCGAGCTGAAACGTTTCTGTCAAACTATGGGCATTGGACATTTGCAAATGCAAAAGCCTCCCAACAAGTTGAAAATTGGTTCCGAGTTCTGCTTGTAAGCAGACCTCTTAGAAAAGGAAGATTCCTGAGCGGGAGAACATTTCCAAGAGTCTGGGTACATGTAATTTGTATCTTGCGAGTATGCAACCAAAAAATACCCCAAAAAATAACGAAACCAATTTTTTTTTTATGTGACGTCGCAATAAAAGCAGGCAATGAGTACATCACCATCTTTCCCTCAAAAAACATTGGTTAAAGTGGTCAGAAATTGCCTCAGATCGCACCACAGAGCATCTAGAATCCATGTTTCCGTATGTACACGTACGTGGTGGCTGCACGGGCACATTACTTTTGCAGTCGACTGAGCGACCATTGTAGGCGGTCGACGGAGCAAACTTACTAGAGGGCGATACCATTGACCAGTAGGGGTGAATATCTGCGCTATTTTAGGCAGCTTTTGCGAGAACCACTCGCCTAAACAACTTCGAACTTGGCACAAACTTTGACGTGAGTGTGCGTTCAACCTGTAAAAACAACACCATTGAATCGCGTACGTTGTTTGCAGCAGTTCTCCAAAACTCTGCAAGCATGCAACCAACACCAGCGGCAAAGCAATTTGCGCTTCCCGAACATGCACATTTTAGACGGGTACTGCACTAGTCTATACTACAATTCAAGGAATCTCTGTCTGTCTGTCTGTCTGTCTGTCTGTCTGTCCGTCGATTATCTCCAGAACCGGGCACCGTATGAAGTTGAAAATCGGCGGGTACATTGCTCGGGATAGCAGAATGTGCAGTGTCAAGTTTGAAGTGGTCTGGACGAGCGGTTCTCGAAAAAGCTGCAAAAAACAGTATTTTCGGAGGCAAACGTGGCAGCTTAGAACATAACACGACGCACTGCCGTTCTTTTCAATTGTTTACGTCATGTTTAAGCTAAAGCGCGCGTGCTCAATATGACGCAAACAATGCAAAAAGGACGGGCACGCGCACGTGCATTGTAGGGCGATACATTGTCCAGTATGGGTGAATAGCACTGCATACCATGTTTTTGTATGTACACGGGCACATTATTTTTGCAGTCGACTGAGCAACCATTGTAGGTGGTCGAACTTCAAACTTGGCACAAACTTTGACGTACATGTAAGTGTGCGTTCAACCTGTGAAAACAACACCATTGAATCGCGTGCGTTGTTTGCACGGGCAGTTCTCCAAAAACTCTGCCAGTATGCAACCTATACGAGCGGCAAAGCAATTTGCGTTTCCCGAACATGCACATTTTAGACGGGTACTGCACTAGTTTATCATAAGTCAACAACATACATACTGGAACAACGTTAGGTATAGGGTGAAGCATAGCTTTTGTACCCCAACCTTTGGACAAATACCTATACTATTACCATACAAGTTACGAATAGGGACAAAACGCAGGGACAAACAGGAACAAAACAAGCAGGAAAAAAACAATTATTCATCAGACATTATAAGAGTTAAGCAATTGAGTTTTCATTTTTTTGATGAATGTAGATTAACGATAATTTAACGATAATTTAACTGAATCACTCAGCCTGTTCCAAAGGTCAATGCCCCGGTTGACAAGGCCGTTTGTCAACATTGACGTTCTACTGGAATAAACGTAAAGGTTTTGCTTTGAAACGCTCCTTTGTAAAATTAGTAGTATTTTTGTAAAATTAGTAGTTTTTCACATTGGGAAGAACAACCACCCCACGTGAGAATTGAGTAATTAAGATAAAGGGAGAATCAGAGAATTATAGAGAATGATAAGGATATTTTCCGGAACAAAAAACTTTAGGCGATTCATAATCCCAACAGTTCTGGATATTTTGCCAGATATGGTATTAATGTGAAATTTCCAATTTAAGTTTTCATCAATATATATACCTAAAAATTTGGTTGTTTTGATTTGTTTCATGATAGTACGATTAAAATTTAAAGGAATGGTTTGTGCGTATTTCTTTTGTTTAGGACAGAAAATGATATGATTTGATTTAAATAGATTAATACAAAGTTTGTTTGCTACCAACCAAGTGCTTATTTTGAGAAATTCACGATTAAGATTACTTACAGCAGCATCTACATTACTATGACTTTACACCAAAATTGTATCCTCAGCAAATAAAGTAAATTCAATTACATCTGATGCACTGCAATTATCATTTATATACAGAATGAATAGAAGTGGTCCTAAAACAGAACCTTGCGGCACTCCACAGGTAATAGTCTTGCATGTAGACTTTGTAGAATTGAATGATACAAACTGTTTTCTTTTGGACAAATAACTCTTGAACCAGTCTAAAACTATTCCTCGAATTCCGTAGTGCTCTAATTTAGACATCAAGATATCATGATTAATTGTATCAAAGGCCTTAGACAAGCCTAAAAATACACCGATAGCGATCTTTTTGTCGTCTATGGCCTCAACAAGTCTATTTACCACATAAAAAGTTGCCATCTCGGTGGAGCGGTTTGACCTAAATCCAAATTGAGATTCTGATAAAATATTGTGTTTATCTATAAAACATATAAGTCTTTTGTAAATTAACTTTTCGAAAACCGTAGAAAATGTAGATAAAACTGAAATGGGTCTATACTAACTTCATGTTCATCTCCCCCTTTATACACTGGAATAACTTTACCTGTTTTTAGCCCTTCAGGAAAAACTCCCATAGCCTTGGACTTATTAAAGATTTTAGCCGGTGGTTTTGAACGACTACTCCTTGCTTGTTTCATAACAAATGGGCTTAAGTCATCAAAGCCAGGTGCCTTCCAGGTAGTAATACTACCTGGAATTTGGTTGAGGGTATCCTCAATCTCTTCTTCTGTTATTGGTGTTAAAAAGAGAGAATGTGAACATCTGTCTTTTAGAAAAGACTGACAATCGGTATTACATAATGGTAGCTTGTCTGCAAGTTGAGTTCCAATATTTACAAAATACTCATTAAATGTGTCGGCAATTTCTTCATTACCATTTATTTTTACGCCATCTTGGACTACACGAGACGGGTTGGGTTTCGATTTACCCATGTTAAGTAGGTTATTAATTAAACGCCATTCCCTTTAATGTTTCCCTTTTCCTGGCCGAATTTCTTGGAGAATTTTTTTTTGCATTTCGTATCAAAGTATTCAATCTATTTTTGTATGAGGTATAAATGGATTTATTATGAGGATTAGGATTTCTAAGGAATTTTTTATACAAGAAGTTTTTTCTCCTTATCGAGTTGTAGATACCATTAGAAAGCCAGGGAGACTTGCACTTATCATATCTGCATTTAACCTCTTGTAATGGAAAATGCTTGTCATACAATTTAATTACAGTTTGTAGGAATCTGTTGTATAAATCATTTAAATCATCCGAAGATGATAAATAACTCCAGTCAGTTGAATTTACATCATTGACAAACTGGGAAATATCATCACTACCGAAGTTACGCTTAAATTGCTTGTTTACATTTCGTTCAATGGGTTTGGATTTTTCTGCAATCAAGAATACAGGTAAATGATCACTTACATCAGTTACTAAAATGCCAGATGTATGATTCTGGAAGTCATTTGTCAGGATATTGTCTATTAAAGTAGAACTATGAGGAGTAATTCTTGTTGGTTTAGTAATAGTTGGATAAAACGAGTGGGAAGATAACATATCAATGAAAAGAGTAGTGACATTTCTCCCTTAGTAGAATTTAAATTTCAATGGCCGCAGTATATTGATTGTTACGTAAGATGTTGCTCCAGGTGTTAATGGCTGGTACCTGATTATTGTTGAGCTAACAAATCACTCCAGAAAGAAAAAGAGGGGTAATATGTACATCACATTGAGGATACAATTATGTAACAAGATCAATAATACTAATAACAATAATAATGATGATGAATACACAACAAGGTGGTAAGATATAGACATTGAGATTACAATGTAAGTGTGCATTATCATGTATTGAATTGCTGTGATTTACTTCCCGGTGAAGGTCTTGAATTCTCCTGTATGCAGTTTATACTTGATGACTGGTGGGATAGACCATGGGATGTACGCAAATTGTACACGTTCGTCTTTGCGTATGGATGGCAGATTTTCATCCCGAAGTTTTTTGCGGTAGTTCCGGACTTTGCTTGTTACATCATCAGAGATGTAGATATATGACCCCTTGTACTGGTTGCCCTTCAGTAGTTTGGCCGCATTCCTCAACACGTACTGCCGATCAGTGGACCGGAGAAGCCTGCAATGAATTGGCCTTGTAGTGGGGGGGGGGCCAATGTACTTCCGTTGGCATGTCATGTTAATTTATGGCAACCATTATAAATGTAATCTTATGAGTCCTGAGAACAAGAAAATTGATGTTGCCATTTTTTCCATTGACCTTTAAATACCTTGACCTGAGGTCAAAGTTCATGGGTCATTTTCACCTAAAATTTGCCTTTCGGAAGGGTTTGCGAAGATTTTCGAGGCAAGTGAGCACA